CTTTAATTCTCAGTGCTTCTCTTTCCAAACAGATGCAACAAAGTTTCAGAACTGAAAGATTCGCAACTGGATGAGAGGATATATGTTCGTTTAAAGCGGGTTGCGCTGGTGTAGCTAATCTCACACTTCATGCTTTAAATAAGCCTGAATTAGCATTTGTTTCTTCAAAGAATCTGTTTCTGAGGTCTGAGTGTTGACAGTTTTCAGAGCTGAGGAAGATTCAAAGCTCTTCTTTCCTCTTGATGATCAACTTCCGAACCATATCCGCTATCTGTGGGCGGATCTCTTTGACGGAGACATCAGGACCCCACGCGTCAACGACTTTGCCATCAGTATCGACGAGGTACTTCCAGAAATTCCAGGTCGGCTCTTTCCTTGACGCCTCTGAAATTAGAAGATGCTGTTATATTGCATGAAAATGAACTATGTTTGTGTTAGGCTTTCTATTTTATATCTGATGAAATGACTGATATTTTAAAGTGTGATTTTCAAGTGTCTAAACCATAGACTGTAAAAAAAGATGGACGACGCCCCTCCGCTCTTCTCCATCGGAGAGAACTGTAGCCGCCAGTGTCTCGATATGACGCTGACATCTTGGGACCTGAGTCTGCGCACTTGCGTGTTACTTACGAGCAGGAAGTAAAGCCGCGAAATCAAGGCCACGCCCTCCTTCGCGCTGAATCAAACGCAAGCACACGCCCCGCGCTTTCATTAAGTGTCCTCTGTCTGCTTCGTTCTTCTCCAATGTTGTCTGCCGATTGCAGAACCTCGTTAAAATAAGGTAAATACAACTACTGACCACATAATCAACATTATGGAAAAAGTCCGCTGGTGCTTCAGTGACTACCTCGCACAGAGAACCTGTCAATCACAGCTGTCAATCATGATGTCAGAGCACCGTTATTTTATCATCACATAACTAACTAAAAACAAACTTATTTTAAAAACGAACACTTGAAATTACATCAACGTGATAGAAACTACAGTAAATGACAGAAACTATCTTTGGAAAAAGGATATGTGAAGTGTAATTTAATTGTTTAGTTGGTCTCGCGTCCCATTGAATAACATGGGGAGGCGGGATTTATGAGCTATACTAGGACCGGTCACAGGGGGGCGATCGAGACGTTTTGGCTTCACTTTTGAGGGCTTGTGCGGCACGCTTGGTCTAAACACGTTTGGATCCCTCTGTAACCAGTTCCACTCACCCACGAGGTATTTGTAAGCGTTATTTGCCCCTATTCCGACCACAGCGATCTTGCTGAAGATGGGAAAAGAAACCCCGTAGACGCGCCGCACGAAGCTGTCGATCTCTTTATCGCTGCCTGGCTCCTGCTGGCCGAACTGGTTACAGGGAAATGCCAGCACGTTGAAATGAAACGGCCCGAAGTCTTTCTGCAGCTGCTGGAGGTCTTTGTAGTGCTCGTCGGTGTAACCGCACTCACTCGCCACATTCACCACCAGTGACACCTACAAACACACCACAGGGAAATCAACAACGTCAGGAAATATATATGTAGATATATATAAATAATTAATTGGTTTGAGTAGGACAAACTTAAATTCAACGAATTAGTTCAGTCAAATTAATTTTTATGAGTATTTAGCACTTTCTTTTTCTTTCAAGTTCACAGAACCTATATATTTTAAGTAAACTGAACTGTTTCATTGTTTTGAGTTTTATGAAATTATTTATTTTAATTTAGACGAACTTAAGTTTAACTGAAACGGCTGGGATATCTATTTCCCAGCATGCTTTCCCGATGGCACTCGAAAGAGAGTGTAAATGCTAAAATTAAGTGCAATATGTTTTTTGTTTTTTTTTGTGTAAGATTTAGTAGTGATTAATGTTTTGTTATGCTAATTTAGAAGAATCCTGTTAATGCTGGCTTTAGGATAGTTACCATCATGGTGGCAAGTGGTGCATTCAGCTTGATTTGAGAGCAAATTATCCCTTTATATTATTACGCTCATACAGCAAGTGCTTCTGTACTGGTAAGTGCTTATAACATACTGTTACTAATATGTTAGCATTTACTACGTCAGCAGATTAGCTTATAAAGCGAACTAATTTAATACAATTAAAAGTGATTTGGGTTTACAGTGTACTTTATAAATTTAAGTTATCGGTTTCCTCAAAGTTTCCTCATGAGTTGAACCAACTCGTCAGGTTCTATATATATATACAGTATATATATACTGCATTCAGGGTTAAATATAGATAGATAGATGGATAGATAGATAGATAGATAGATAGATAGATAGATAGATAGATAGATAGATAGATAGATAGATAGATAGATAGATAGATAGATAGATAGATAGATAGATAGATAGATAGATAGATAGATAGATAGATAGATAGGTTTTTGACCGTGAACACCAACTGTGTCTAAAAGCCAAATGAAGCCATTAGAGCCAATCAGCAGCGGCGGAGGAGAGCGAGATGAGGGAAGAGCTGCTGACGTCAATCTCTGCTTTACCTCTCTCTCTCGAAGACCTCCAAGTCTTCTGATTATCATATGTATGTGTGTGTAATGTATATATATATATATATATATACACACATACATATGATAATCAGAAGACTATATATATATATATATATAGATGCAAATTACACATGGTTGCTGACAACCAGCCCTATCAGCTCTTGATATACGGTAGATTGAAAAACACCTCACCTCCATTATTACACCTGCTGTCATTAAAGCACTTCACATTTTTTATTCATTATTTAGTGTTAAAATGGAGCCATTTCATCTGCGGGCTACAACTACACTAAAATGATGGCTGATTGCCTGTAAAGAGCTGGTAAATACACATTTATTTACTTTCAAAAACAGTAGGAGTGGTGGCGTATGGTAGTAAAGTGATAGTAGATTTACATTTATGCATTTGGCAGCTGCATTAGATTTACATTTATGCATTTCCAGAACGTCTCACATTGCATTTCAAAGTACACATTTACATTGTCATCAACTCTTGCAAGCGCCAACGGCACGCTCTGTTAGAGCTACAGGAAAGTAGAAATAGACTGTAATAAAATATTATAGGTTTAACTTAAAAAAGTAAGTTATCTGGCTGCCTTAAAATTTTGAGTTGATTCAAATAATACAATGACGTTGGTTTGCATAACTCAAAATATGTTATCTGAACCACAATAATAATGATAAAAAGTTCAAAATAACGTTCTGGCAAGGTTCTCTCAAAGCGTTCTTCTTAAGTAACATTGATCCGGGTTGTCTTTAATAGGTAAATGTAGTTTATACATTAGGCCTATTCGGGAAAGCAATGATCAGGAGATTTCAAAGTTATTCAACATCGACACCTAGCGACTCGAAATTAGTTGTGCAAACTCAGTTCCGTTTAAAACCACATAATTATAACCACGCAATCGATTATTTGATGCATAATAAAACACAACATGTGTATTTTCTAATGTATAAATTATAGCATGTGAATTGTTCATCTTAAAATACTTTATAATGTTTGCAATGTTAAACTACAGGCCAACTGTTGAATGCAATCAAAATCAATCAATATGATTTCGTCCTGTTTGAATGTATGCAATATTCATCTCGCGTTTTTTAATGCAATAATGAAAGTTATTCCGAAATGCAGGAGTAATCGAGAGTGAGCTGAGGAGTGAGGAGCTGAGATGCATGACGCTGCCACGTAGACACTGAGAATGAATGAAGAACAAATCCAGTCTGCCGGTTAGTAGTTTGTTAGTAAGAAAATATGAGGAAATTCTACAACAGTGTTAAAGCACGCATGCATCCGGAGAAAACACACACAGTGATGTCACGTTAGTTTCTTACATGCACGTTAGTTGCATCTCACGTCTGCAGCATCAGGGCTCATTTGTGGAGACTCACCGATCCTCTGTATTTATCCAGAGAAACTAACCTCCCTCTGCTGTTCACCACCTTAAACGTGTAGAAGTCTTTCTGTTTGGCCTCCACCACACATGATACAGTCAGCAAAGTAAGTGCTATTAGAAACATCCCCATAATGCAGTGAGATGAGGTTCCTCTGCTCTGATGTAGAGAAGACAGATACAAGTGAACGGGACAGTCCGATACGGAATGAAAATAAACACATCTAGAGCGGACGCGCGCGCCCCGAACAACCAATCACAAGCTTCCTCATTCCTAGGCTACACGAAAACTTTATAAATGTTTTCACATAAACTGCATGATAGTTAAGTGTGCAAATAAGGTGTAACATTCTTGGGTTTTGAGAAATATCTTTTATAATCAACAGGCATGGCTGAATCTACTGTGTTAATATGCATAAAAGCTAAATAATGCTAAATAATAATAACAAATATTATAAACAGAAGTAATTTTGTAGCTAAATAAATAGCTACAAATAGTTAAATAGCACTATATATACTTTAAATAGCGTATTCAATTTTTATTAGAGAAATACATGTGCTTTCATAAAATAAAATAATTTGTAAAAACGTATAAGTAGGCTATTGATTCAACAAACCCTAGTTAGCCAGCCTGTAGTAGGCTTAATAAATAAATGTTTACCTTAAAATAGGTTTTCTTATATAGAGTTTTTTTTACTGAATGCCAGTCATGTATAAATAATTAAAAAAACACGAATCAATATTGTACAAGAATAATAATTTGAAATAATGACACATTACAGCAAATATAAAAATAAAATATAGCGTAGCCTTATTAAAATTAATGTTAACAACTAGGCCTAAAATAAAATAAAAATGTAAAAAAAAAAGGAACAGGTAACGTTATGAGATCATCATATAAATAGCATAAAGGCTTAGTTTTCAACTCAAGTAGTAACTCAATATAATTTTTAATTTCTATCTGAAATAACAAAAAGTTATTACTTTAGAGTTTTGTTGCTTGAGCCTTAGAGCGCCGCCTGTAGGCGTCACAACGACGATATGGCGCGTCGAAGCGTCGCGTCGGTCTCCAGTCTCCGCCTACCGCACTGAAGCGACCCACAATGCAGCGCGCGAGCAGAGTTAACATGGCGCGTGCGCTCACCGTCTCGAGCTGGGCCGAAAACAACAACAACAACATCATCATCAGCGCCGGGATACATGGCGTTTAACGCGACGCCAAACCGTCCCCGCTCCTTATGATCGTTCTCAGCATGTACTGCTGATCTACCGCACATTTGTGAATCTAGGTAAGACAGAAAAGTAAATACACAAGTGAGGAAGAGGTGCGCGAGGCGTTTGTAGCGCAGCGCGCGAGCTAAGTCTAAATACATTGACAAAAGTTTAGGGAATCACTATAAAATTAGACTTTTTCTGAATGATACACAGTTCTAAGTGTGTATTACTTGCATGCAAATGTGTTCTACATGTAATGGTGCAGTGCTAGTGTTTGATTATTACATGCAGTGTTTTTACAGTGGGAATAGGAGATCAGAACCAAGCAATAACTTACAGGATACAATATCAGCCCAGGTACATGTATATGGTCTCATCATAATTAATGTTTGGACTCTAATCATGACTGTAGTTTCTGTCCGACTGTAAGTTAGTTTTGTGATTGTTCAGGCCTAACGTTACAGGTCGTTAAACTTGTGAAAGATTGAATATTTGTGCTCATGATACAAACATTTTTTTTTTAAATACAACGTCTAATGCTTTAAATAATTAAATTGATAGCTAGTGTGTATTATATATTTAGCTTCAGGCGTTATAATAATTATATACATTTGCTTATATGTATGATTGAAGCCATAAGACTGTAAAAAAAAGAAAAGAAAATTGCTTGGTAATGATGATGTCATTTCTTCCTGGCTGTAATGCTATCCTAAAGCATACTAACATATTACTCATATTATCTCTGCAGTGTATAGTGTATGTACTGTATGCATTTGACCCACTAAAATATACAGCATATAACCAAGCACAATGCACTGCACTTTACCTTACATCTCCAGTACGACGAACTGAAAGTAGCCTAATATCAGTGGTGAATATTGTCTTTCTTGGTCGATTATTTAACGGCAAGAGGTTAGGTTTCGATTCCCAGGAAATGCATGAACTGATAAACCCTGAAGTCTCTTTGGATTAAAGCATGCCTAAATGTATATTACTGTGCTGTACTAAGTAATTAGTAGATAATTGTTCTGTTGTGACATGCAATTGAAACCAAACACACTGCTCTTTCTGAAATATTTAGTATCTTGTGCTCATTGTATGGGAAATGTTGAATGTAAAGCATGCATATAATTGCATTTCATGCCTGTATTCTCTGTAATGCATACTTTCATGTTAAACGTGTCGAGCGGGACAGGAGGTTTGAAGCTGGGTCCATGACAAAGCTTTAAATATATATATATATATTCAAAATTCATGTAATGCATATTTTTGAGTCATAAACAGTGTTTAAATGATTTTTTTTTGGACTATTTTGTCAGGTGGTACAACCAAATATGTATGTGTGTTTGTGTCATATAATACCTATCGTGTGGATACGGACAATATGTATTGTGGATAGTCCCCCCAAAATAAAAACTTTCCGTGTGAGAAAAAAATTCAAGTTTTCAGAGTTTTAGTGTAAGTACTACATTAAACTACTATATAAAATGTTGATTATAATGTATAATAATGCAATAGGGGAATATTTGTGGGTGCCAAATATCTGATGTAACCTGTAAAAAGTGGCTGACATTATTTTAAATATTTCCAGTCAGTGAAAGAGTGCAAGCAAAGGCTATTCATCTAAAATAATTCTGTGTTTTCAGCTTCAGAATCATGAATATTGTTATTCTGGAGTCTCTATTGTCCGAGCCCCAACCTATTCATTTAAACCCGCAATGTAATATCAAAGTTAGCATTTTAATCAACAGTACATTTTTTTTTGAGTATTGCAATAATAATCGTATTGTGATTTGTATTGATTCGTGACATACACCCCTATTAAATACCCACAATCTGATTATATCATGATTCTGTTCCAGAAACCTTCAACCCAGAGCCCTTCGGGCTTTTGTTCAGTCTCGTCCGGAGAGAAGTGGAGTGGCATGGAGGACCCCAAAAGCCCCGTGAAGGTGTTCAAACCTTCCCGCTCGAGCGGGGGCAAGGCGTCGTCCTCCAAACCCCAGCGGGAGAGCGTGAGAGTCCCCGGCCGATGCAAGGATGGCGCCCCCAGGGGCAAAGAGGAGATCCAGGGTGGCCCTCAGGAGCAGGGCAAGGGCAAAGCCCGCAGGCTGACGGGCAGAACTAACTCTGGCGAGAGGGGGAGAGGGAAGCCCCTGCCCAGTGAAGCCCGTCAGCAGACACAGAAAACGCCGGTCCGAAACACTGGACCGGTCAAGGATGGGGGAGAAACGCTGCTGACCGGCACAGCACAGGACAGCTCAACACACAACACCACCACCACAGCTAAAGAGAAGATACCTGGTGAGAAAATACACACCCATCATCATCACCACATGAATTTGAGATTATTTAGGGTTTTTATTGCTGATATCTATAGAGTGCCGAAGTTACGACGTCACTCTGTAGGCCGAAACGCGGAAGTGAGTTAGCATTTTAGCACTACGGTTCCCTCGCTCTATGGGATTTTTGAATGGGTTTATGCTAAATCGCCTGAAATAAGGTCTGTGGTGAACAAAGCCTCCAAATATTTTCACATAAAACACACAGTTATAACCTGCTTGTGGTTTTTTTTAAACTTTATTGTGTCTGCTTGTGTTTTTTTTAAATCTTTATATTTGCTTCAAAATGTATAAATTTTGGATTAACTTGTAAAGATTATCTTGCTAGACAAAACGTGTAAGGGTCACTACTCTTTGTTAAACACAGATCTTATTTTTTTGCGATTTTCCAAAAGTCTATGGGGAAAATGCATTGCTTTTCGACCGAGGGAACCCATGCGCCGCTAGCTTACGAGTTGTCCTGCAAAGTGACGTCATCGCTTCGGCACTCTATACTGGAGTGACGCTACACACACTGGGGTTGTTAGGGTTTGATTCTGCTCACAGAGGCTGCATTTATTTGATCAGAAATACTGTGAAATATTTTTACGAAATATATCTTTAAATATATTCTAAAATGTAATTCATTCCTTTGATCAAAGATGATTATTTAGCAGCCATTACTTCAGTCACTTTAATTCACTCTTGCTGAATATGTATCAGTTTATATATATATGACAAAAGAAAAAAATCTTACTGACCCCAAACTTTTGAACTCTAGTAAATATTATAAATGTTTCAATTTAATAAAGGCAAATAATATTAACATGAAATTGGTGAAATTAAATAAGCAATTATCCCCCTGGAAAGTGTTTATTATCTGACGAAGCTGTAAACGTGTTCTCTGGGTGTATTTACTGTGTTTTTTCTTTCTGTGGCAGTAAAGTGTTATGTTTCGGTTTGTTTTTGCTGTCTGTTCTTTTTAATCTCAGGTGTGGAGATCTCAGATCGCAGACAGAGGGTGGAGGTCGCAGCAGAGGTCGTGGAGGTGGGTCACCTGACCTCTGACCAACAGCTGGGACTCAGACAGGCGGAGGAGAGGCTGCACAGAGACTACATACACCGGCTGCTCAAGGTAACACACGTTCCTGCACACTATCTGGATATGAAATCATTATAAGAACAATTATTAATATTATATAATTATTATTACGAAATAGAAATAAAAACAACAACAAAAGAATTATTAAAATAAACATTTCTTTTTATAAATACTAAAATAAAAACTTGTATTTTGATGGAAAACTGCAGGCAGCCCTTAAACCTTGTTTAAAAATGCTCATCAAAAAAATATTTTATGCCACTTTTTATATCATCTGGTATAACTAGTAAAGTAAAACTCAGTTTTATTAATATGTTTAATTGGCTTTTAGTTTATATTTTAGGTTTTCTTAGTTTAACTGAATGTACTTTGGTCATTTTATTTCAGATTTACTTTTAGTTTAAATGTATTTACTGATAATAATTTTAGGGCTTCAACTTAAACTTATTTCAGTTTAATGCCGAGGTAACATTTCTGATTTTCATTTAGTTTTTCAACTAATATATATATATATATATATGCTTTACAGGCACGCAAATTTTAGTTTTATTGATATTTTTAATTGGCTTTTAGTTTAATTTTAGATTTTCATGTTAATTTTAGTTGAATTTTAGATTTTCATGTTAATTTTAGTTGAATTTTATGTGCTTTGGTAATTTTTGATAGATTTTTATTTCTTTTAGGGCTTCAACTTAAACTTATTTCAGTTTAATGCCAAGATAACATTTCTGATTTTCATTTAGTTTTTCAACTAATATATTTATATTTTAATTAGTTTTCAGCTTTAATTCAAGTTAGAGAAATGGTGACTTGTTACTAGTGTCCGATTTCTCAAACAGTTTGTTTCTGAATATAAAATTGTAGACACAATGTAACGTACCTGCTCTGGCACTAGTTTTGGATGAAGAGATGTGCTTGTTGTTGACGTTTGTCATCGATGTACAAGCAGGATGTGGTGGTTGGTGGGGGTTTAGTTTTATTTAGAGTTTGACAAGGCAGAATAGTGAAGGACCAAACCCTGACATATATCAAACAAAACACATACTCATACTTTATTTTAACATAAATATATTATTATAATTAAAAATTAAACAAACTAACTAGGTGTGGAATTTGTCCCGCCCCTCCTCCACTGTGATTGGACGACTGGGTCAATTGACATTGAGTGCTAAGTTTTACCCAAAGTTGATCATTCTTCAACTCCGCAACTGGTAAAAAATGCCCAGCTAGAATTTATTTTTATTTTTTTCTTGTATTTTACTTGTATTTTGTATTTGCTTTTCATTTTTGTGCCTGTAAAGCACTTTGAACTGCATTTATTTGTTTGGAAAAGTGCTTTATGAATAAAATTAGCTTGCTTGCTAGAATGCTACTACCTTTTTAAAAACGGTCCACTCCCGTTCTTTGGTGGACACAGGGGCCTGATAGTTTCAGTTAAGAGTAATAACCCTGGTTTATATTTGCTTTACCTAGTTTCATTTGACTTGAGCTTTAACTTTGATCTAACTGGGCAGAGTATCAGAGCGTTTGCATTCACACTCGCCGACTGATTTTACTGTGAATGATGGTCAAAAGCAGGTCGTTAATTGAATCTGAAACAAGTCGGGTTGTCGTTAAGAGCCTGTGTTGCACGTCAGATGTGTGAATTGAGGTCTCGTGATTGGTTTCTCTGTCTGTGTTGTGTATTCCCACAGCCATCTCCGGAGTACCCGAATTTCCAGTATCTATGCAAACTGTGTTCAGTCCACGTGGAGAACATCCAGGGTGCTCACAAGCACATTAAAGAGAAACGTCACAAGAAGAACATGCAGGTGAGAGGATGCAGCTTTTTTCTGTGGTCTATATAATCCACAGTGGCTCTCTGCTAAGCTTAGCAAGGGTTCACTGTGCTAGTTTCCGTTAGACTGTTAGCAAACATGCAAAAGAATGCTGCGTTTCACTGAAAATATATTATATTGGATATTTTCTATGAACTTTGACTCATTCTGATTTGTGTTTTGTAGGAAAAGCAGGAGGAGAATGAGTTGCGAGCGCTTCCTCTTCCCTCTCCGGCCCAGTTGAGGGCGCTAGACTCCGCCGTCCTGGAGACGGCTGAGGTGCACGGCATCTCAGAGGAAGACTTCGTGTTGAGGCAAAGCGTGGTTCTGCGGATGGAGGGTATTATACGTAAACAACTCACAGGTACACGGCTTTCCCTGCCGAACTTGAGACCTGCTTTACATCTATTCTGTTCGTTATCGGCCATTAGTGGACTTACGAAGAAACTGGCCCGCTTTGTGGTACCTGTATTTATGGATAGGGGATGAATTGAAAGTTTGGTTTGACAAATGTGGTGCATTATCAATTTAAGCATTTCAGAACTTTGAGGTTAGTAAGTTTTTTTTGTTTTTTGTTTTTTTTAAAAGAAATGAATACATTTATTTAGCAAGAATGCATTTAATTGATCAAAATTGACAGTCAAATCTTTTATTTTATAAACTGTTTTCAACATTGATGTTAATGCATCAAATCATCATATTAGAGTGATTTCTGAAGGTTCATGGGACACAAAATTCAGCTTTGATCACGGGAATAAATTACATTTTACAATATATTCATATAGAACAATATTTTATTATAGTTTTTACTGTATTTATGACCAATTAAATGCATTCTTTTAAAAACATTTAAAACTCTTACTGACCCTAAACCTTTGAACCTTAGTGTACTTCGCAGTAAAAATGGTCGAGAAAGTGTATTTGTGAGTTTGGTGATGTCAGAATGACTTCTGTCCTCTGTTCTTCACAGCTTGCTCTCTCCGTCTTTACGGCTCCTGTTTCACCCGCTTCGCCTTCAAGACAAGTGATGTGAACATCGACATCTCTTACCCCTCCACTGTGAGTCTGAACGCATGAGCTGCTTATGTGATGATGCATTTTACTGCGTTCATTAGGGTTTTACTGTGTGTTTATTAACACACTTGTGTTGTGTAGATGACTCAGCCTGATGTGCTGATCCAGGTGCTGGAGATCATAAAGAACAGCGGTGAGTTTCCCATTCGTTCAACTACGACTACAAACTATAATACACTTACACTGTTTAAATAGACTGGTGAATAAGTATGTTGTTGCCTGAAAATAAAAAAGCTCTTTATATATGTGTGTGTTAAAAAAACAGTGTGTGTAAAAAAAGTGTGTATATATATATGAAGAGTTCAGATGCAAAAGCCTCTAAATGCCATTTGAAATTTTCATCTTTAATGATGATTTTTATCAAACTTGTATATTTAAGTTCAGTAATTTCACTTAAATAACAATTAATAGGTAATTATCATTGCCATTTAAGTGAAATTACTGAACTTAAATATACAAGTTTGATAAAAAATCATCATTAAAGAAGAAAATTTCAAATGGCATTTAGAGGCTTTTGCATCTGAACTCTTCATATATATATATATATATATATATATATATATATATATATATATTATTATATACATAACATATTATTTATATAATAAATTATATTTTATATATATATATACAATATAATATAATATAATTTATTATATAAATAATATTATAAAAATAAAATAATGAGTTAAAATTCATATATGCAATTAAATAATCAAATTAATTCCATATGTTAATGAGGTCTTCTGTAGTCCTGAGTCAAATAGAAGTATATATATAATGGTATTTATTATACAATAAAATCTATTGTATAACAATATATATTTTTTTAAAGGTTTTATAAACTGGTACTTTAGATTTCTGAATATGTGTTGTATGTATGTGTATATATATATATGTGTGTGTGTGTGTTTTAATCAACATTTTGTCCAACATTTTTAATATTTATTTGTGTGTGTGTGTATTTATATACAGCCCACCACATGTATGTGTATATATATATATATATATATATATATATACACAGGCATGCATACATGCATACAAACTTACATACTTCATTTATTTATTTATTTATTTGTAGTGACAAGTTTGTCCAACTCTTTGAAAACAGAAAATATATAAAAGTAAAGTTTTATTTGCTTATTTTATATATTTTATGTTTACAAAACTCATTTCAGAAGTCTAAGCCTTTAGATCAGGCGGTTTAAAAGATTTAGTGTGACTCAAATTCAGTAAAGTACATTTAAAGGACGTTTGACAGATCCTATAGTCCTAAACGTGCCTCACTTGACTATTGACAGCTCTAACAAGTTCATGTATGCACCAGACTTGAGTTTCCAGTAACTCGTGTTTTTCGCTTTTGTTTCCAGTGGCGTTTGCCGAGGTGGAGTCTGATTTTCATGCCAAAGTCCCTGTTGTCTTCTGCAGAGATGTGGCGAGGTCAGTTTTATGTGGGCAATAAAAGCGAGATGCTATAAATAGTTGCTGCACACAAAGAATACACAGTCTGAAGACATTAATAATAATAAATCGTAGCTGATGTGAGTTGTTTATTGTCTCTGCAGTGGGTTAATGTGCAAAGTGAGCGCAGGAAATGATGTCGCGTGCCTCACCACCAATCACCTTGCAGCTCTGGCCAGACTGGAGCCGAGGCTCGTGCCTCTGGTGTTGGCCTTCCGATACTGGGCCAACGTATGACTCACGCTCACACTTTCCCGAGATTACTCAAGCCGTTTCTCACCAAGGACTAACAAGATTGTGTGTTTTCTTGTAGCTGTGCCACATCGACTGTCAGGCGGAGGGAGGAATCCCATCCTACTCGCTGTCTCTCATGGTCATATTCTTCCTGCAACAGAGAGCGAAGCCCGTCCTGCCCGTCTATCTAGGACATTGGGTGAGAAACCAAGAACAAAATAAAGAATAACAGACGGCCCTTATAAATAGTCTGTTATTGTAGCTTGTATGAGTTGGACATACTTTTGATTAGTTCTGTAATACAATAAAAAAAGAATCATACCTTTCACATACAATATAAAACTGAAATGTATATATTATTATTAAATACTCTATATATGTGTTTGTGTCAGGGCTGTCAAGTGATTCATATTTTTAAATTAATTACACGATGAGCCGATTAATTAACCAAATGAATTCCACATAAAATGTCTGCTGAGAAATTACCCACAAAAATCATTTAAAGCCATTATTGTGTTTGAGAAATACAGAAAGAAATATTTTGATTCGGCACTTACATTTATTACTTTTTTTTCAGAAGCAGCATCTAAAGTGGCATTTAGGCATATTTATACAGATTGTTTAATGTAGCTCACAGGTGGCATGAATATGAATGACAAATGAAATGATATTGGTAAATAGCCTATAGAAACTAAAACAGCCAGTATGTGGCGAAAATGACTCTTAATGAGTGAGTCATTGAGTCGTTCACTCGACTCAACCGATTCATTCTAACGGCTGATTCGTTCAGGAACAAAGCAAGTGAACATCTTTATGAATGAGTGAATCGTTTTGTTAAAAACCACAGATTGATTCAGTAATGAACACCGCTGTGTGTTGCGTGGAGAAGCACAACACTTCTGCTCTGCTTTCATTGGAACTATATTCATTGGCGAAATTGAGCAAAAACAGGCAATGTTATGTCTAAAATTGTTGTATAACATCATTATATTTCATCCATAATTAATTACACCAAATGAACGTGTTAAATCGACAGCCACATTATATATATATATATGAATACAGTGATGTGAATAAGTTTGGACACCCATGCTAAAGTTGTCTAAAAAGAGGAATAAAAAATGCCTAATAAATTAATGCCTTAATTAGAAAAATGAGGAAAACTCCAACCTTTAAGGACACCAATTTTCTTTGTGTATGAATAATGTATCATAAATAAATAAATGTTCTTCCTTAAAATAAAGGGGGCATAAGTCAGGACACCCCTATGTTAAATTCCCATAGAGTCAGGCAGATTTTTATTTTTAAAGGCCAGTTATTTCATGGATCCAGGGTAATATGCATCCTGATAAAGTTTGGAGTTAAAAATCATAAATAATTGGCCTTTAAAAATAAAAATCTGCCTGACTCTATGGGAATTTAACATAGGGCTGTCCTGACTTATGCCCCCTTTATTTTAAGGATTAACATTTATTTATTTACGCTGCATTATTCATTCGCATAGAAAATTGGTGTCCTGAAAGGTTGGATTTTTCCTCATTTTTTAAATTAAGGCATTCATATCAATTTCCAAAAGATGATTCTTTACTCCTCTTTTTAGGCAACTTTAGCATGGGTGTCCAAACTTATTCACATCACTGTTTATATATATATAATGTTGCTGTTGATTTAACACGTTAATTTGGTGTAATTAATTATGGATGAAATATAATGATTTTATACAACAATTTTAGACATAAATTTTATACATAACATTGCCTGTTTTTGCTCAATTTCACATCACTGTTTATATACATGTGTTTATGTGTATAATCTTTTCCTCACTACTGGGTAAGAACTGATTTTTTAGCAAACCCCAAACTAAAGTAAATCTAAATAAATGTGACATATATTCTCGTTGTGTGGTTCTGTTCAGATCAAGGGCTTCGATGTGAAGCGCGTGGATGAGTTTCATCTGACGGGGATTGAGTCGGGCACGTTCGTGTGTTGGGAGCACAGACCCGCTCCTGCTGGCGAGGGCCGCGCGGACGGCAAAGCCAAACCTGAACCCAAAACCCACACGGAGAAGAAAGAGAAGAAGACCGAATACACTAGGGGCAAGGTGAACGTTTTCCCAATATGCATGATTGTAGAGTTTGGAAAAGTGTTGAGAAATTTGTCTTGGGGATTGTAAAAGAAAAGTGTGTTTTTGACTGTAGGCTCGTTTGACGCTGGAGGAACCGGTGAGCGGTTCTCTGGGACAGCTGTGGCTGGAGCTCCTGCGCTTTTACACGCTGGAGTTTGCGCTGGAGGAGCACATCATCAGCATTCGTCTGAGAGAGCTGCTGCCGCGAGAGCTCAAGCATTGGCCCCGTCGTAGACTCGCCATTGAGGGTAGGCAGACAGATGTTTGAGATCCAGGGATAGCCAACGTCGATCCTGGAGTCCTGATATAACCATTAGTAATCCTGAAGACATTGATTAGCTTGTTCAGGTGTGTTTGATTAGGGTTGGACAAACTCTGCAGGACTCTTCAGGATCGACTTTGCCCATCGCTGATGTACAGTATACCAAAATATATTATACAGTTTGCTTTTCTGTTGTTGGCAATAGGATGGCAAACACTATGATATTTTCTCATGTACCGTCAGCATTCAGCAAACACTTTTCTGAAGTGTGCATTTGTAGACAACTCGTGTTACTCTGTGTGTGTGATGGTCCGTTTGTGTGAATTGAATGCGGACAGGAGTTTATACTTCACTTCAACTTTAAACCTATGCTGCGCTATATCCAGTTTATGTCATAATCATGTCATTTTTACTGTGTGCTACATGCAAAATGAGTGTTAGCTTGTCTTTCTTAAAAAAATATATATATATATATATGAAGAGTTCAGATGCAAAAGCCTCTAAATGCCATTTGAAATTTTCATCTTTAATGATGATTTTTATTAAACTTGTATATTTAAGTTCAGTAATTTCACTTAAATGGCAATGATAATTACCTATTAATTGTTATTTAAGTGAAATTACTGAACTTAAATATACAAGTTTGATAAAAATCATCATTTAAGAAGAAAATTTCAAATGGCATTTAGAGGCTTTTGCATCTGAACTCTTCATATATATATATATACAGTATATATATGTATATATATATACATACACTACCGATTGTACCACTACAAGATTTTTTTATGTTTTTAAAAGAAGTCTCTTCTGCTCACCAAGGCTGCAATTATTTGATAAAACAGATATACAAAGAGATATACTTAGATATACAGATATACTTAGATAGAAATACAAAAAAAAAAAAACCAGTAATATTGTGAAATATTGTTACAATTTAAAACAGCTGTTTTCTATGTGAATACATAGTGAAGTGTAATTTATTCCTGTGATCAAAGCTGAATTTTTTATTATTATATTAAATTATTATAATATGATGCTCAAGAAACATTTATGATTATTATCCATGTTGAAAACAGTTTTTTACATTTTTATTTCAGGATTCTTGATGAATAGAAAGTTCAAAAGAACAGAATTGATCTGAAATGGAAAGCTTTTGTAACATTAATCACTGGCATTCAAAAGTTTAGAGTCAGTAAGAATTTTAGTTTTTATTTTTGGGGGAAAGAAATTTAGAAAATACTTTTATTCATCAAAGATGAGTTAAATTGATAAAAAGTTACAGTAAAGACATTTATAATGTTAGAAAATATTATATTTTAAATAAATGCTGTTCTTTTGAACTTTCTATTCATCATAGAATTTTGGAGGGAACTATCCCTTTAGTGTTAATAAAACAAAACAAAAACACAAGAAGAAAATCACTCACTGACTGAGAACTTTAATATAGCTTTAATAAGAATCGATTTATTCAGTGACGTCTATGTAGTGTTTTAATTTCATATTTGTTCATTTAATTACTTCAATGCTACTGCTAAATACACCTACTGCATCTGAAAAAATATAGCACTATTTATTTAATATGAATATTAATTTGTGTAATGTTTATCTTGTCTTATTTTTTATTTATTTTTTTCATTACAGCCACTTGCAAAATATTAAAACCAACTTGAAAAAGAATCGTGATAAAAAATCGTGATCGTGATTTTCCTAAAAAAATCGTGATGATATTTTTTCCATATCGCCCACCCCTAGTATAAACTAGCGATTTCTTTTTACTTATTATATATATACACTAGAGAAATCTCAGAGAACGGTCGACTAGGTACCAAATGTGTGATTAGACCATTAAAGGTTTGTTTTGTGCCGGAGTTCTCCTTTAAGATGCATATTAAAATGAGCAACAGCTGCAGAATGATGATCCGATGTTGTATTTTCCAGATCCGTTCGCATTGAAGAGGAACGTGGCTCGCAGTCTGAACAGTCAGATGGTGTTTGAGTACATCCAGGAGCGTTTCCGCATGGCCTACAAGTACTTCGCCTGTCCTCAGAGCAGGAACGGAGCGAACGCCAGGCTGAGGAAGAAATCCAGACGCCACGACAGCGTGGAGAGGAGCGGCGAGGAGGACGGGGACAGCAGTGATGATGAGGAAGAGGAGAGCCTGAGAGCAGGGTTCACCGAGCTTCTGGTGGGGGACGGTGGGATTGAAGCCATTTCCCGGGAACTCCCCGCAGACATGTCTCCTCCTGTCCTGAATGGCCTGCTGATGGACAGTGATGATGATGATGAGGAGGATAAAGATCAAGAGATGGAGGAACAGGACATTATCGCTCCAGAAGACATGCACTACATCTTTGACAGGATGATTTTCACGGGAGGAAAGGTAATTGCACGGGATACAGTAATATTTGTGGTGCAAATCTCTGGAAAACTGGGAATATAAGGGAATTTTATAATAGGAAATCGTGTGTTTTCCAGGATTGGAAGTGTTTTGAATTCTATAGTGAATATACATTTCTAGTTATAGTTATGCTAACATTAGGTGGATAATGATCTTGTGTGGAGTAAAACCGGCTTCAATTTGTGATCCTATTATTCTTTTCACTGGATCGCTCTCACATTGGTCTGAATTTTAAGAACTCTTTATTTCACATGAAAAGGCAGAAGTTCAAAAGTTTGGGATTGGAAAGAATAATTTAAATTTAATTAAAATTCTTTAATAAGAAATCTAAAATACTAAAAAAGCAGTAATATTTTGAGATAGTTTTGCAAGTTAAAATATGTTTTCTATATTTAAATATATTTTATTCCTGTCTTCAGAGTCACATGATCCTTCAGAAATTACTCTAATATGATGATTTGATGCTCAAGAAACATTTCTGATTATTATCAATGTTGGAAACAGTTTTGCTGCTTAATATTGTTTGTGGAAACCGTGATAGATTTTTTTCAAGATTCTTTGAATAGAAATAAAAAACTGCATTTATTTGAGAAATCTTTTCTTAGAAAGCTTTCTAAAAGTCACATTTGATCAATTTCATTCATCCTTGCTGAATAAAAGTATGAATTTATTTTATAAATATTGTATTAACCCCAAAACCTTTGAACGGTAGTCTACATATTAAAAGGCTTGTAGGCACAGCAGAAAAAAATGGCTCTTTAATATTCAAAAATTTGTTGGAAAAAAAATTGCAATGTAAATGTAGAAAAATTGAATACAGCCTTTTAAATTTGCAATCATTTAATGCAATCATGTGTACCTTACCATGGTAAATTATGTGATCCTGTTATTCAGAGGTGGGCAGAGTACACAGCTTTATTACTTGAGTAAAAGTACAGATACCCCTTGCTAAATTTTACTCAAGTACAAGTAAAAGTACTACAGTCAGATGTCTACTTAAGTAAAAGTACTGCTTGTTTTTTAAAAGTACTTGAGTATCAAGAGTACATTTTCTAAATATTGCATTACTACTGCCACAGTGCTTACATTTATGTACAGAAACGTTATGAAAAATGTTAATGTTAATACCTTGGAGAATTTAAAAGGAATTGAAAGTAAAATCGAGTCAATTTCATCTTTTTACAATGTTGCTTTATCTAACATTTAAGAAATTTTCAGACTATTCAGAAAATTTAAATAGTGTGGGGCCACGGGTCGGCACATTCCTGGGATGGACCTGCTTGCGTCTTCATCCATTGTTTCGTCTCTTATCTAAATCTGACCATTGAGTTGACTTTGGCGGAAAGCTGAAGGTGATTGCTGATCAGTGGCACCTGCACAATCCAATCATGTTTGAGAGGGAAACAACAAATTGAGGTTTCCGAGATCCAGAAATGAAGTGTGTGGTGGTGTTTTTTTCTGTCCAGCCTCCAACGGTCGTGTGCAGCATCTGTAAGCGAGACGGCCACCTTAAAGACGATTGCCCTGAAGACTTCAAGAAGATCGAGCTGAAGCCTCTGCCGCCCATGAACGAGCACTTCAGGGAAATCCTGGACGGACTCTGCATGCTGTGTTACCGTGAGCGCCACACCATACTTTACCATCATGTCTTTTTAATATCGACGGTTCAAACCAATCCCGAAGGTTCAAATGTGATGTTTTTGTGTTTGTAGGTGAGCTGTCGCCGTCTCTCGCAGAGCAGCAGAAGCGTGAGCAGATTCTGGCCAGTCTGGAGCACTTCATTAGAAAAGAGTACAACGGTGCGAATGCATATTCATTTGAAACCACAATAGGGTTATATAGATTTGTTAACTGAATTAAAGTGAAAATTGACCCTTTTCACATGTCACAACTTTTCAAAAGAACAAACTAACTTTGAGAGATTGATTACTGCTTGTCACATTTATTGTCACTACCTCGACCTTTGTATTAGAAACACCAGTGTGTGTTAAGCAGTTTTTTTGTAATTGCCAAATTGGCATGCCAAGATAATTTGATACAAAGTTTTATGCTATTGATATGTTTTGGACATAACTAGATTTACAACAGACTTTCTCAAACTGGAAATAATTAAATCATGAAAATATTAAATCATTAAAAAAAAAGTAAAATAAGCTCTTAATGAAAAGATGAAATATATATTTTGTTTACCTGCATGTAATGTAACATTAACAAACACTTGATGGAGTTTCAGGACACCATTGGGTCACCTGATGGAGTTTTAGGACACCATTGGGTCACTTGATGGAGTTTCAGGACACCTTTAGGTCACTTGATGGAGTTTCAGGACACCATTGGGTCACCTGATGGAGTTTTAGGACACGATTGGGTCACTTGACGAGTTTCAGGACACCATTGGGTCACTGATGGAGTTTTAGGACACCATTGGGTCACCTGATGGAGTTTTAGGACACCATTAGGTCACCTGATGGAGTTTTAGGACACCATTGGGTCACCTGATGGAGTTTCAGGACACCATTGGGTCACTGATGGAGTTTTAGGACACCATTGGGTCACTTGATGGAGTTTCAGGACACCTTTAGGTCACTTGATGGAGTTTCAGGACACCATTGGGTCACCTGATGGAGTTTTAGGACACCTTTAGGTCACTTGATGGAGTTTCAGGACACCATTGGGTCACCTGATGGAGTTTTAGGACACGATTGGGTCACCTGAACGAGTTTCAGGACACCATTGGGTCATCTGATGGAGTTTTAGGACACCTTTAGGTCACCTGATGGAGTTTTAGGACACCATTGGTCACCTGATGGAGTTTTAGGACACGATTGGGTCACCTGAATGAGTTTCAGGACACCATTGGGTCATCTGATGGAGTTTTAGGACACCTTTAGGTCACCTGATGGAGTTTTAGGACACCATTAGGTCACCTGATGGAGTTTTAGGACACCATTGGGTCACCTGATGGAGTTTTAGGATACCATTTGGTCACCTGATGGAGTTTTAGGACACCATTAGGTCACTTGAGGCAGTTTACCACTGGGGTCACATGATCGGACACCACTGGGTCACAAGATGGAGTTTCAGGACACCATTGGGTCATTTGATGGAGTTTCAGGACACCATTGGGTCACTTGATGGAGTTTCAGGACACCATTGGGTCACTTGATGGAGTTTTAGGACACCATTGGGTCACTTGATGGAGTTTCAGGACACCATTGGGTCACTTGATGGAGTTTTAGGACACCATTGGGTCACCTGATGGAGTTTCAGGACACCATTGGGTCACTTGATGGAGTTTCAGGACACCATTGGGTCACTTGATGGAGTTTTAGGACACCATTGGGTCACTTGATGGAGTTTCAGGACACCATTGGGTTACTTGATGGAGTTTCAGGACACCTTTAGGTCACTTGATGGAGTTTCAGGACACCATTGGGTCACTTGATGGAGTTTCAGGACACCATTGGGTCACTTGATGGAGTTTCAGGACACCATTGGGTTACTTGATGGAGTTTCAGGACACCATTGGGTCACCTGATGGAGTTTCAGGACACCATTGGGTCACCTGATGAAGTTTTAGGACACCATTGGGTCACTTGATGGAGTTTTAGGACACCATTGGGTCACCTGATGGAGTTTTAGGACACCATTGGGTCACTTGATGGAGTTTCAGGACACTATTGGGTCACTTGATGGAGTTTTAGGACACCTTTAGGTCACTTGATGGAGTTTTAGGAAACCATTGGGTCACCTGATGGAGTTTTAGGACACCATTGGGTCACTTGATGGAGTTTTAGGACACCATTGGGTCACTTGATGGAGTTTTAGGACACCATTGGGTCACTTGATGGAGTTTCAGGACACTATTGGGTCACTTGATGGAGTTTTAGGACACCTTTAGGTCACTTGATGGAGTTTCAGGACACCATTGGGTTACTTGATGGAGTTTCAGGACACCATTGGGTCACTTGATGGAGTTTCAGGACACCATTGGGTCACCTGATGAAGTTTTAGGACACCATTGGGTCACCTGAACGAGTTTCAGGACACCATTGGGTCATCTGATGGAGTTTTAGGACACCATTGGGTCACCTGATGGAGTTTTAGGATACCATTTGGTCACCTGATGGAGTTTTAGGACACCATTAGGTCACTTGAGGCAGTTTACCACTGGGGTCACATGATCGGACACCACTGGGTCACAAGATCGAGTTTCAGGACACCATTGGGTCATTTGATGGAGTTTCAGGACACCATTGGGTCACTTGATGAAGTTTTAGGACACCTTTAGGTCACTTGATGGAGTTTCAGGACACCAGTGGGTCACTTGATGGAGTTTTAGGACACCACTTGCATTATGTTTCCAACAATGTTTAAATCCAGAATTTTAATCAGTGACATTTTATCACCTGTCAATGACATCATATCCTCTTTACCCTAAGCTGTCCCTAGAAACAATGGAGAAATGGTGCACTTCCTGAAAAAATGTAGTTGTAGTAGTCTAGAAACTTTTGTCTATGGATGGCAACAGAATGAGAAAAATCTAGATTTCACAGTTTTTATGATTATTGGCAGATTGGTTAATTGCAATATTCCTACTTATTGATGAAAATGTATCTTTTTTCTGTTCAGATAAGGCCCAGCTCTGTCTGTTTGGTTCTTCTAAGAACGGCTTCGGCTTTCGTGACAGTGACCTGGACATCTGTATGACACTGGAGGGTCATGACACCGCTGAGGTATGAATACTGTTGCCCCTTCAAAAGCGGGACATTTATGGGAGAAGCCAGATTTTTTTCTACAGATTTTTCTCTTAATGTTTAATCATTCTCGCTCTCTTGCCTCTCTTGCAGAAACTGAACTGTAAGGAGATCATCGAGGGTTTAGCCAAGGTGCTGAAGAAACACACAGGTGACTGATTCTAAAACTCACTATGTCAATATAAATAAAGTCAGATTATTCAGCACTGACTGGTTCATTTGTGTGTGTTTGGTTCAGGTCTGAGAAATATCTTGCCTATCACAACTGCTAAAGTGCCTATAGTGAAGTTTGAACACAGACAGAGCGGACTGGAGGGAGACATCAGCCTCTACAACACACTGGTGAGACTCGTATGTTGTGTTATGTGTCTATATATGAAATATTGCTGTTATTTATTAGATTTTTTTTTTTTGTCATGTTTTGTGTGTCAGGCCCAGCACAACACCCGGATGCTAGCCAAATATGCTGCTATAGACCCTCGTGTGCAGTATCTGGGCTACACCATGAAAGTGTTTGCCAAGGTAAGATCAGATATCTCTGCTGCTGTTGTCATCATAAATAAGGATCTAATTTGCAAAATGCAGATAGTAGAGTTAAATATTCCCTAAGTATTCAAACGTGCATTCAGACATTAAAGGAACATACATGAGCGCTTGATTATATTCACGACCTGAAAAGCCTCAACCTTTAGAGAGAAATATTGTTGATCATAATTAGTATTGATTTAAATTGTTTACTGTCCAGTTTTCTATTAAGCTATCTGCAATAACTCGATAAACTCTCCGCTGGAAGGGTTTCAGGAAAAGTACGGCGGATACAACTCAAGTCACTTTATGAGCTTTTATTGCACACACATACACAATAATCTTACACAAACTAGGTAGCCTGAATGCTACCGCTATGCTAGCATGTCAGCTGGATATTAGTGACGTTAAGTAGGGATGGGCAACGATTAATCGCGATTAATCGCATCCAAAATAAAAGTTTGTTTACATAATATATGTGTGTGTAGTGTGTATAATTAATTTGTATATATAAATACACACACATGCATGTATATATTTAAGAAATATGTGCATGTATATATTTTATATATATTTATTCACAATTAATATTATATATAAATATTTGATATATTAATAACACATTTTTCTTTAATATATACATGCATGTGTGGGTATTTATATATACAAATTAATTATACACACTACACACACATATATATATATTATGTAAACACAAACTTTTATTTTGGATGCGATTAATAGTTGCCCAGCCCTGTTAGTTAGTTAGTTAGTTAGTTAGTTAGTTAGTTAGTTTGTTTGTTTGTTTGTTAGTTAGGAAAACCTGCAAACAAACATCAAAATTAACTAATGAAATTACACAATCATGTGATATTAATTCTGAATTACTAGCAATGCTAGTTTATAGTCACTCACTGGCAAGGCATACCAGTCCTGATGATCAATTGAATAAAAATGAGACCTAAAGGCATGACGTCTGCACACTGTGACTAATCAAGAATACACAGGCACACAGTCTGAAGACCAGGAATGATAATAAAACAAATCTGTAAGATTATAACATAAACATAAATATAATAAATATATAAAAATAAAAAATATAATATATGCCTGCATTTGGGAAAATGTGGTTAATGTACACACTTTTTTCCTCAAATACCCCAGAACATAATGATAACATCCATCAATTGTAATATATATACACACACACTTGTGTGTGTGTATATGTATATGTATTAAACACTAGCTACTCATACTGGAAAATTCTACAATTACATTTATTCAAAATGTAGTTTAATTAAACTCTTCCAAATGCTGTAATTTTGAACTTTCTTTTCATTAAATAACCCGAAAAAAAGTATCAGGTTTTGCACAAACATGAAGCAGCACAACTGTTTTCAACATTGATAGTAATAAGACATATTACTTGAGCAGCAAATCTGCATATTAGAATGATTTCTGAAGGATCATCAAATAAATTCAAATTAAAGTTATTTTAAATTGCAATAAAATTTCACAAAATGACTGTTTCTACTGTATTTTTGATCAAGTAAATGCAGCCTTGATGAAGAGAAGAAACTTTTTTAAAATCATACCATCTTTTACCATACTTGTAAACGATAATGTATAAGTCAAAGAATGAAAAGAAACCGCCAAGTTATTTATTATGAACTATACATATAATTTTATGGCCTCGAATGAATTGTTTCTCAATTAATATGAGGTAAATCAACTATGTATATTTAATAATAAAGAATTAGAAAAGGCTGTTATTTTTAAATGAAATGTAGCATATCGCTTTCATTAAATGTCATTGCATAGGAAATTAGTGTGTACTATAGTGTCGAATACATGCATACCTGAAAACATGTGTAAATGTGTGTTTGTCAGCGCTGTGACATTGGCGATGCCTCGAGAGGGAGTCTCTCCTCCTATGCTTACATCCTCATGGTGCTGTATTTCCTACAACAGAGACAACCACCCGTCATCCCTGTGTTACAAGAGGTAACATCATTAGCAATAGTGCTACACTCTTACAAGAAAAGGTTCTATCAGCGCTACATATTTGGAATCCCTAAAAGGTTCTATACACTCTTAAAAAAAGGGTTCCTATGGGTTCTATATAGAACCCTGGGGTTCCATACTTGGCCAATAGAACCTTTTACCAAAAAAAATGGTTCTATATAGAACCATTTTAGAGTTCCATATATGAAGCGGGGGATGGAACCATTTCTGGTTCTAAAATAGAACCACTAGAGTGTATTATTACACAATGTCTAAAATCCATAATAACATGGCCTTTTTTTTGTAAGTGAATAAAAGATTGTGTTGCTAAGAAATATCAGTAATGCTTTACACTAAGGTTCATTAGTACATGAACTAACAACGAGCAATGCAGTTGTTACAGTATTTATTCAGATTTGTTAATGTTAGTTAATACAAATCCAGCTGTTCATTGTTAGTTCACAGTGCATTCACTAATGTTAACAAATGCAACCTTTGATTTTAATAATGCATGAGTAAATAATGTTGAAATTAATATGAACTAAGATGAATAAATGCTGTAGAAGTGTTGCATAGTCTTGGTTAATGCTAACTAAGGTACTGTTGTTAACTAATGACACCTTACTGTAAAGGAGAATTGTTCTGTTCAGCTTGAGTCGTGTTTCTCCTGCAGATATTCGATGGGAACACTGTTCCTCAGAGGATGGTGGACGGCTGGAACGCTTTCTTCTTCAATGACCTTGATGAGCTGGTGAGCATATAAACAAATAATGCTTTTTCAAGTGCTCTCCGAATGCATGAGTGAACGTGTGTGTGTGTGTGTGTGTGTCCAGCGGCGGCGGGTCCCGGAGCTCCATCAGAATAAGGAGTCCGTCGGGGAGCTGTGGCTCGGCCTGCTGCGCTTCTACACGGAAGAGTTTGATTTTAAAGAGCACGTCATCTCCATCCGCCAGCACAAGCGCCTCACCACCTTTGAGAAACAGTGGACGTCCAAATGCATCGCAATCGAAGGTTTGAAACTCTACGTTTGCTCTCACTCTGTTCTGAAATACTCAAGCCGCTTATGCATTCCTTTATTTAATTCAGCTTTTCTACAGCTGGTTTTCTCAAACTTTTTTTTTATAATTAAAGACCTTTTTTATAAAGCTAAAACAGGAAACTTAATACATTTTATTTTATAGTTATTCCATACATAGTTTCCAAGTAGATGTAAAATGTTTTATGCACTAAAATACAGTAAAAATACTGTTTTATAATTCATATTTATATTATTTATAATTTACTTATTAATTTATTAATTAAAAAATGTTTTTATTATATATATATATATATATATATATATATATATATACACACTTTTTAATTATTGCCTCCAAAAAATAATAAATAAAATATTTCTCATAAAATGCTTTTTTATAATTCATATTTATAATTTACTTATTAATTGATTAATTTAAAGAAATTAAATATATATATATATATATATATATATATATATATTAGTATATAATATATGTGTGTGTAGTGTGTATAATTAATTTGTATAAATACCCACACATGCATGTATATATTTAAGAAATATGTGCATGTATATATTTTATATATATTTATTCACAATTAATATTATATATAAATATAAATATTTGATATATTAATAACAAATTTTTCTTAAATATATACATGCATGTGTGGGTATTTATATATACAAATTAATTATACACACTACACAAACATATATTATGTAAACACAAACTTTTATTTTGGATGCGATTAATCGTTGCCCATCCCTAATATATATATATATACATATATATATATATATATATATATATTATTTTTAATAATTCCCTCTAAAAAAATAAGAAATAAAAATTGGGAATATCAACACACACATACACACGTATATATATTTCTCATTTTTAATTTATAAGTAATCTTATCATTATTTGTAATTACTTTTCAATAAATACGCAAAGAAAAATTATGGATAGATGGATAGATAGATAGATTTTTTTTTTACAATATTTCATTTTAACAACACAATCATGTTGCATGACTCCATGTAAGGTGAAATGTTGTATGTTCTGTGTTTACATAACTATTTATTTTTGACAGATCCCTTTGACTTGAATCACAATCTCGGGGCTGGTGTCTCGCGCAAAAGTAAGCCAAAGTCTCCCGTTCCACAGCGCTCAGCTTTGTGCAGTTTTGGTAAATATATACGGTTGATTAAGTCCAACTTGTTCTCTTTGATTTCTCCACACAGTGACCAACTTCATCATGAAGGCCTTCATCAACGGCAGGAAGCTGTTCGGCACCCCGTTTTACCCTCAGCGTGGGACAGAGCCCGTGAGTCCATTAATACACATCTTCAGTCCTACAGAGCGCTATTAACCTTCATTTCATACCTCTCCTCCTGTACACACTCTTCATCCCTCTTTCAGGATTACTTCTTTGACTCAAAGGTTCTGACAGACGGTGAATTGGCTCCTAATGACCGTTGCTGTCGGATCTGTGGGAAGATCGGTCACTATATGAAGGACTGCCCAAAGAGGCGCAGGTGCCCTGCAGAAACTATCACTAATACTAAAGCAGCACAGGACGCAAAGTGCTTAGTTTGTCTTTCTTGTTGTCAGAATGAAGAAAAAGGAGAACGAGCGAGATGAGGAGATCAGGGAGGAGGACCGAGAGCCCAGAGAGAGACGCTGTTTTCAGTGTGGCGACATGGGTCACGTGAGGAGAGACTGTCCCGATTACAAACACCTCCGTCAGAGAGGAGCGCCCGGACCAGGTACAGCTCAACCTTTATTTCATATTTTATTTATTTATTTAATTCATTCTGTTTGTTTATTCAGCCTCTCTAGAGCATTTTCATAAACCCAAACAGTTCAATAATATATTTAATAAAATAATTAAATATAATACATATTTATAAGTAAATAAAAATAATTGTAAAAATAAAATTATGAATGGTAATTATTAATCTTACAATTTATACTTTCTATTTTTATCCTTTTTTTAAATGAATTTATTTATTTTATTTACAATATTATTATAATTAAATGTAATTTTCAGATATATTACATTCTACATACCATATCAGTTATAATTTTTCTTATACTTTGTGAAAAAATACTAAAAATAGATTTATATACACTATACATTTATTTAAAAAATAACAGATATATATTTTAAAATGTTATTCTGTCAGTTTTTTCAAGTAGATTTCAAATGTGCGATGCACTAAAATACAGTAAAAAATATTGTTTTAAATTTATATTTGTAAATAAATATACCTATAGGTATTATATTTATAATTAATCAATACCTTTTACTATTAATAAATTAACCACTATAATTCATGAATATATTAAATAAATACATATTTATAATTTATAATAAAAAATATGCAAAATGACTAAATATTTTGTCTATTTATCCAATAATTTTGCCCAAGACATTTATATTGAGTTCTATGTTGTATTGTCATTTGTTGTTTTTGTAACTCAGTGTTGACACGATCTGTGGCCTGTAGGGGGCAGCATATAAAAGTGTTTGACTGTGATTACTCTGGTTTATTTGTAGTCCCTCACATGGTGCGGGCCCTGGCGAGCTCTCAGTCCATCCCCATTCCTCAAGCTGCTTCAGTCCAGGAGCGAGTCGGGAGGAACAGGCAGCCCTCTGAATGTGTAAGTCAAGTCACCTTCATTTATATATTGCTTTTAACAAAATAGTTTGTTTCAAAGCAGCTTTACAGTGATAACAGGAAATTAAAGTAACGGATCGTTTTGGCTTTACAGCAGCTGTACAATACAGTTATCGTCCGGCTAAATTTAGTTTTGATTGATTCTTCCGTCAACAAAACCCTTTACTGGCAGCTGTGGGTGGGCCATATAGAGACATTTTTTTTGTCAATGTTTTTATCCCTTAACTCATCTTTTATCTCCAAAATGACATTATTAAAGTTTTTTCATTCCTTAAAATATCTTGAATGTATCTCTACACCCTCGCCTCATTTAGAATACGCAGTCCTATGAATATGCAAATTAGCCTCGCCTCCACTCACTCACACAGCTCAGAGATCCACATGTTGATCTGATTGGTTACATCCGTGTTTTTGAGACTGTCTTTGGTTCACTGCAGTTTTAAGGAGAAATACTCAACAATGGTGTTGACTTATGAATTTTACGGAGGCGTATTGCATTCACTTGAAGAAAAAAAATCTACTCTTTTTCTGAATTAACAAGTTATTTTTTCATGAGAAAAAAAAAATTGCTCTGTTTTTCTGAATTAATGAGTTAATTTTTCATGAGAATTTTTTTTTGCTCTGTTTTTCTTAATTAATGAGTTAATTTTTAATGGATTTTTTTTTGCTGTTTTTCTGAATTAATGAGTTAATTCAGAAAAACAGCAAAAATAAATTTTCTCATGAAAAATGAACTCATGAATTCAGAAAAACAGAGCAAATTTTTTTCTCATGAAAAATGAACTCATTAATTCAGAAAAACAGAGCGAAAACTTTTTTTTCTCATGAAAAATTAACTTGTTAATTCAGAAAAACAGAGCAAAAAAATTTTTTCTCATGAAAAATTAACTAATTAATTCAGAAAAACAGAGCAATTTTTTTTTCTCATGAAAAATTAACTCGTTAATTCAGAAAAACAGAGTAGATTTTTTTTCTTCAAGTGAATGCAATACGCCTCTGTAGAATTTACACATGGTTTGTCTTAAAGAATATTAAAAACACTACACCACGTTTTCAGTACAGGGTGACTTTAACCATAGTCTTGTAGAAATAGTCAGTTGTTCTCAGTCATTAATTTATTTCGTCAGTCTATTGAACCTCAACATTGTATAGGGCAATTATAGTTACACCACGTAGAGAGACCAGTGTCCTCAATGAAGTTTATTCAAGTTCAATCGGTTGACAGAGTTCACTGAAGTACTAGTTATATGGATAGTCATTTCAGAACATAGGTTACCAGTGCAGATAACTTTTAGCAACATCCAAACATGGTATTCTGTTGTTTACGCTAGTAAGTTTATTTAAGTACATGGCCTTTGACACACTTTGAATACATAAGAGTCACAGATTAGTCATAGATTTCAGAATGACTCTTAGATGACTTACGCATGGTCACATGCCTCTTATAATAATACAAAACTGCTGTAAGCTCAATCAGATAAAGGAGAAGCTTGAGTGTCTATCAGGAATTCACTGGAACAGAAGAGCACAGAGCGCTGAAATACACTTCTTCACATGATTTACAGTCATAGTCTAACATACATTGATCAATGAAGAAGATACATGTAGTGGGCTATTGACTTTAATGAACTTAGACACAGTTTTCTTTATAAGCCATCATGAAAACAGCTAAATAGAGTGTATAGGAATAACGTTCAAACTGACAATTCTGTTTCTACAAAATATCTCTGGACTCTTTCTTGAATAAATTGGTTGTATGAGCAAATTAATTAATTACAAAACAAGTTCATATTCTCTGGGAGGTGGGCTTAATGAGTAATAGAAATATAATAGAAATAGAAATATCTGAATAGATGCACTGTTTTTTTTTTAAAAAAATTTTTTAATTTTCCAATTTATTATATAATACAAGAGTCGGGTTTATAAATTCATCTCCTTTAACATCCATTGTATCCTAGTAGATTTAGCTTCACTTAATTTAATTCACTTAACATATTTTTTTAAGTTTGTATTTGTACTGTTTATTTATAATTATAATAACTTAATTTAATTATCTTTAGAAATTACATTTCACAAAGCAGTTTTGTTGTAATATATAATTCTTTAATTAATTATATTTTCTATACAAAAATGTACATTTACTATTGTATATATTATTTTGTGAAAATTACTAAAAAAAGAATTGTACTTGTATACACTGTGTGTGTGATACAGTTCTAACATAATTAATAAATATTTTTTAGTAATTAATTTAGTTCACTTAATTTAATTCACTCAACATATTTTTTTTAAATTTGTGTTTAGTTGTATTTATACCGTTTATTTATAATTATAATAACTTAATGTAATTATTTTTAGAAATTACATTTCACAAAGCAATTTTGTTGTAATATATAATTCTTTAGTTCATAATTAATGGATTATTTTTCAATAAAAAATACATTTACTATTGTATATTTTATTTTGTGAAAATTACTAAAAAAGAATTGTGCTTGTATACACTGTGTGTGTGATGCATACAATTCTAACATAATAATTTTTTTTAGTAATTAATTTTCTTGAAATAAGGGCGTTCATTAAACATCCTGGCACAGTTTTCAGAAACTGTTACACTACTTAAACACAATGAATTACTATAATGGCGCATTGATATTATTATCATGATCCTGGTATTTAAAGTGTATCAAAATCATTGTAAACGTACAACAAATTTTCAACATCACCCAACAGCAGCACATTTATTTGTTTTTGTGCAGTCTGACCCTTGAATCTTTTTCTCTGTGTGTTTCCACCCAGTCTGATGCGCGCCAGACTCCTCCATACTCTCCTCAGCCGTCTCCATACAGCCAGGGGTCGGTCTCTCCCCAGAACAGCAAGCCTTCCTCCTCCTCCTCCTCTGGGCTGTCCAAACCCTCTCAACCCCAGCAGCAGCTTCCCCAGGTCCAGCTTCCCATCTTCAACTTCCCACACTCCCACCCGGGCCAGTACCACCCTGGGCTCTCTGCACTGGGCCTTCTGCCCGCTCACCCCCAGCAGGCTCACTCGCCCCTGTCCTCGGGCTCCTGGCCCATCCACGGCCCTCTCATCCAGGGCTCCGGGGCGCCCACGGCCTCCGGCCACCCGTCCTCTCCGGGCCTGAAGTTTGCCGTCCGAGGAGGCGGCGGAAACGGGCAGCCGGTGAATCCCGCACCCTTGAACCTGAACGACCCCAGCATAATCTTCGCTCAGCCGTCGGCGGGACGGGTGGCTGGTGGCGTGGGCGGCCCGGGCAGAGAAAGGGGGCACCCCTGGCACAATCACCATCTCAATCCGGGGCCACTGGTGGGAAATGGCACTGTAAACAAGACAGGTACACACACGGGCTTCTCACAGTATGTGTCGGCAGCACTAATACTAACATGCTAGTTTCAAAATAGCGGAATCAATGATGCAAACTTTATCAAATATGAGACAAATTCTGTAAAAAGACAAAGTCAGTTTAGTGCTGATTCAGTTCAGTTCAATAACTGTGTATAGATCATCAGTTAACGATATAAACAGCTTTAAGCGGACAATATGATTCTCCAATAATTATCTATATGGATAAATAGTCTATTTTGAATACAATCGCTATCATTTTTAACTTTAATTTGTACTGCTTTGATATAGTTTTTTCAAGTTGAAGGCAAGTTTATTTTTATAGCACATCTCGTACACAATGGTAATTCAAAGATAATTACCATTTAAAAATTTAGATAAAATAAAATAAAAACTTTTAGAATAATCATATGCGTAGTATATATTCATAGTGCATTCTGGGATTGTAAACTCTACTATGGATATTTTAATAATGGCTTAAATCATATGTAGGCAGGGATAGAGCTGCTGTCTGTTAATTTTTTCCCTAATTTTTCCTCATATTTTTCCTATAAAGATTTTATGAAATTGAATAGTCATATTACTTATGAATTATTAGCAATTGTCCATGATATTATTTATGGTAAATTATTCCAAACAAATAAATCATTTTTTTTCTAATCCGTCATCAAAATGTACGACTTTTAGATTTCATCCTCATAATCAAAAGGACAAAAAACTATATTTATATAAGTAAATGAATCCTATTTTTGGACCCTTTTTAAATTGTGACATTTTCTTGTCAATTAAGCACATAACACCTAATTAGTGCCCTACTGTAATAAACAATCTAATTTTCTTAACTGTAAATTGCAAATCGACATAATTATTTAAATTGTAACATATATTTGCAAGATACAGCTGTACATATTTGCATATTAATATTATATGATTTGAATTATTTATTTAACTAATAAAACTGATAACACATATTTTTATTCCAAAGTTAATAAATCTAGTTAATTTTAATAAGAATTTTTCACTAAATAAACATAAGGAAAAATGACAACTAAAAGTATTGATAAGCGGGACATTCATTCTGTTGGTACAGTTTAGAAACTTTTTATAAAATTGTGAAAAATGTAATTTTTGTAAATCATTTTCTAATATGGAATCAAAATGCAATGACTTGGTAAAATGAATGTTTCCAAAATAGTGTAGCTCATCCATTATGACTATTAGCTGTGATTTGATGAATCAGTGAAATGAGTTTGTCTGTTTATTGAGAGCAGGGGGTGTTGGTGAGCTCAGGTAAGTCTCACAGGTGTATCGGGTGCACGGGTGACTCCACATCTGTTAGACGGAGCACTGGATCTAGCCTTTTGAAACCTTGGTTTTCCTTACATTTATTGGCATAATGAATGATGTGTATTACTTACAAACAGACCAAGTTACTAGTTTAAGACTAGTTTAATTAAAACAGCTGGCAATGGAAGCTTGTGGTTTCATAGTGGTTGAATGACAGTTCAACGATTTTCATCTCTGGTATCACAGAGCCATTTGCTCATAGTTCTCTCTCTCCGTCTCAGATCCTAATTTCCCATCTCAGTTTGGGGGTGTGAGTCCGGGCTCTCGATCCTGGGACCATGGCGGTGCTGGTCCGTATTCCCTGTCTCCATCCTTCATGCCCTACCGTCTGCCGCCCTACATGCAGCAGCCCAACAAACCCTTCATCTCACAAGGTACATGTTCTAAAACATTCAAACTCGATGCATATGTCCAAAGTAACCATGGAATTTTCCATTTCTGTCAACATGTTAGCATATATTTTATTTTTATTTTATTCATTTTGGCTTTAGCTAGGCAAATTAAACGTAGCGACCCAATAAGTAAATTATGTTGTGCCAAAGACCTTTCCTATACTAAACCAAGAAAGCAAACAAAACAAAAACAAAAAAATCAAGAAAGCAACAAAAAATCTATTATACTTCTATTTCTTCCTTATTGTGACGTCGTACACTCACTTAAAGGATTATTAGGAACACCACACTAATACTGTGTTTGACCCCCTTTCGCCTTCAGAACTGCCTTAATTCTACGTGGCGTTGATTCAACAAGGTGCTGAAAGCATTCTTTAGAAATGTTGGGCCATATTGATAGGATAGCATCTTGCAGTTGATGGAGATTTGTGGGACGCACAATTTACATTACATTTATTCATTTAGCTGACGCTTTTATCCAAAGCGACTTACAATTGCTATATATATCAGAGGTCGCAAGGCTCTGGAGCAACGAGGGGTTAAGTGTCTTGCCCAGGGATGTGATGTTTTATTTTTCTATTTGTATGCGTTTTTTCCCCCTATTTGCACACTTTTTTTCTCTATTTGCACGTGTTTTTTTTCTATTTGCATGCATTTTTTTCTCTATTTGCATGTGTTTTTTCTATTTTTATGTTTTTTTTTTCTATTTGCATGCATTTTTTTCTCTATTTGTATGTTTTTTTTCTGTTTGCATGTTTTTCTATTTGCACGTGTTTTTTTTCTATTTGCACGCGTTTTTTTTCTCTATTTGCACTCGTTTTTTTCGATTTGCACGTGTTTTTTTTTTTCCATTTGCACGTGTTTTTTTCTATTTGCACGCGTTTTTTTCTATTTCTATGTGGGTTTTTTTCTATTTACATACTTTTTTCTACACAATTGTTTTCTATATGCATGTGTTTTGTCTATTTGCATTAAGCTATTTGCGTTTTTTTTTCTATTTTGTACTCATTTTTTTCTTTTTGCATGCTGGGTTTTTTTCTTCTATTTGAATGTGTTCGCTTCAGTTGCAACACGTTGAGCTCTCTCGGCCACCGTATTTCATGGTGACTATAATGTTGGTAAAAGTTGGCTTCATTCTCTTTATGTAGAATAGTATTTAATTGACTTATTTTTGATTATTACCTGGATATATTTTCAGGACATTGCTGTTTATTTTATTTGTGATGTTGTAATTGTTTGATGTGTTTAACAGATGTTATCCATAGACGTGAAGTTAATTCTGAATATTCATTCCTCTTGATAGTTTTTACACTGAGAAATCAGGAAAAGTGTCCGCTCATAACCGCACATTTCTTCTCCTCTCGCAGGTTCAGTGGTGGCAAATCAACATTACCCGCTTATTCAACACGGCCGGCAAGGCAATCTCAACTACATTCAGCAGAAGAAATGAAGAAATGACACTTTACTTTGTAAACCAATGCCCAAGGTCCTTATAGAAAAAAGACTATCTTTGCATCATTTGGAAACTTTTTAAAATGGATTTTATCATTTTTGTACAGTTTTTATGTTTTAATTTACTTTTATTTCTGTGTGTTTCATCACATTGATTTGTGATATAAAATGTCAAATATTTTAATACCCCTATTTTTGGAGGGGTCCAAAAAAGTGTTTTTATTTTATGTGTAAAATAAGGATTTAAAATGTATTCACTTTATTTTTATTAGCCGTATTCCTATTTTGCTTGCATAAGGACAAAGGCTTTAGATAGGAAAATCAAACATAACAACCCAATAAGACAATTATGTAGTGCCAAAATCGTCCCTATTAGCAAACCAAGAAAACAAACAAAAAAGCAGAAAAAAAAAGAGAAAAGACCAAAAAAAATAAAGAAAAAGCAAAACAACATGCTGCTGTGTCCTTTTATTTTCTATACATCTTTTTTTGTAGTGATTTTTTTTTTAAATGCTTCATAATGTATAAAATGACATTGCATGACTATGCAACAATCTGACCTGAAAACACATGCTTTACCTTTGCTACAATTATGAAGTCTCCGTTACACCCCTTTCTAGACCTTTTGCCTACTCAATAACAAAGAAGAGATTAGGATGGCAGAACTCGTTTCCACTGGCATATAGTAGAGAGCTTTGAGCTAGTGAGTTATTTACTAAACTTGTGCTACTTTGCATTGAATTAACTTCTTCTTGTATAGAAGTAGCTTGTATGTTTATAAAGGGAAAATTAGTGTTTTGCAGAAGTATAATCTTCTTCATGTCTTGATTGTTTAGAACCCTGTTGCATTAATAGTAATGACTAATATATTTCACAAGCATGAGCTGGCACTGTCTCCACCCTCTTTGGCTCTGTTTATAAAGCCCACAGTCGTCCGCTGCTCTTGTGTTTGTCTTGAAAGCAATCATGTTGGCGACTCTCGTGAAGTTAGACCTGGCCTCTGTAGGCCTGGCTCTGTTTCTGGGCTTGATCTTTCTGGTTCTGTTCGAGATCATCAGGATTAATTCCTACAGAAATCGAACTCCTCCTGGTCCCAGACCTCTGCCGTTTGTGGGTACCTTACCATACTTTCTGAAGAACCCAATGGCGTTTCTGAGATCAGTGAGTCTTTGCTTTGAGGCTTTGTTTTTGTGCAAAGATAACTTTTGTTCACCTTATGCTTGAGCTATGTTGACTTCGCTCACAAGTGAGATGATGTCTTTGTGTTGAAGTGCTGTTAAATCTTCTCTGAGTAGATGCCTCAGTATGGAGAGATGGCCACGGTGTATCTCGGGAGGAAGCCAGCGATACTCCTCAATACAATCCAGGTCACGAAGGAAGCCCTGGTCCAAAATGCTTCATCTTTTTCAGGAAGGCCACCTGTACCACTTCCAAACTGGATCAGTAATGGATATGGTCAGTAATACGTTGCATTTATTGTGAGCTTCTTCATCCAAGTTTTGATGAAATGGGAAAAGGGAAATAATTGGAAAAATGAAAAGTCTCTTGCATGGTTTATATAGTCTTCTGAAGCTAGTGGAGATACCAGCCAGTGAAGTTAATTCTTGAAACCTCTCAAGACTGCATAAATGTGGGCCTCAAGTAGTCTAGAGCTAGTCTAGACCTGGGAATCTTCCAGCCAATGAGGCCGAGGTCAACATGGACTTAGTCAAGATGTTTGGGGCTGGTAGATGTATCAGTTTTCTTTGTTCTACTTGTCTGTGTATTTCCTCATAACTCATAAGGTCTGTTCTCTTTCCATCAGGCATAATAATGGTCACATTTGGTCACGCCTGGAGGCAGCAGAGACGGTTTGCTTTGCACACACTCAGGGACTTTGGCCTGGGAAAGAAGTCTATGGAGGAACGCGTGACAGAGGAAAGCAGCTATCTGCTTTCTGAAATGCTCAAATCAGAAGGTTTTTGAGGATTTTAATGTGTGACTATGTTTTCAATGTTTAGAGGTGCTGTACTCTGTCACGCCCTCCTCGTACTTTGCAAACGTTAAACATGCTACTTTACGCAAATATATGGACATGAATTCTTAGCCAAAACATTTCAAGTGCCTTAGTATTTAGGCTAGCGTCAAATGCCATTAAACCAGATTTTAGTTTAAACTATTTAAATACTCCTTGCAAAAACTAACACGTGGTTTTCTTTGTTGAAGGCAAGCCTTTCGACCCCCAACATGCAATAGAAAATGCTGTTTCCAACATTATCTGTTCCATCGTTTTTGGGGATCGGTTTGACTACGATAACAAGCGTTTCGCCTACCTTCTGCAAATCCTGAAGGAGAACATCAATTATTCAGGGTTAATTGTTGGGCAGGTATGAGCAAGTGTTAATTTTTTTTTTGCTTAACTGTCCTAATATCCAACCGGATCTTGTTCTACTCTCATTGGTTATTGACACATTGCATCGTTAATCTTTAGCAATAATAAGACCTCAGCTTTCTGAAAAGTTAGTGCTCCTGTTTCTTGATTAATGCCAGAGAATATTTATATAGAGACATGCCACTTCCTCAATCCTCAATACAACTATATTGGGAAAACCCGTAACACCAAAGATGGCGGTTGTATGCACATTCCCCGCCCATCCCGCTGGACAGCCAATTGTCTGCTTTTAACAGTCAAGCTGGTAAACATTTAAGCCTATCGTCTGGTTCCACCGACAAGGTTTGCGACAGCGGAGAGTACGTTACTGTTTGAAAAGGCGGCATTTGATATGTGTTAGTTGTGTAAATATCAGCCATCCCAAGTCTCCCGGAAGTTCTGGAAGTCTCCCGCAGATTGATAGTGCAGTAGCGGACACATATGCTGCGTTCAAGTCCTCATGGGAAGTTCGTACGTACGAGGTGGGAAGTCGTGTTTACGACGCGATGTGCGTTCAAGTCAGTTTCGTCAGAGAAAAATGGCGGTGTACCTTCTTTTAATGAATTACACGAAAATACAGCAATGATTGTTAACTCTGCTAATAAAAAAAAATGAAGAACAAAGAATGCGCATCAGGTGTGTTTTCTTTTTATGTTTTTTATTAGCTTATGAAGCCAATGTAAACTCTATCATTAGGTACCCAGACAGCAAACTGACATTGAATCAACGTGGAAACGACGTCTCTCATGACATTGAAACAACTTTGATTTTGCTCATCGAATTAACGTTGAACCAACGTCAGAGGCGGCATTCTTCAAAGCTAAATGAAAATCGAAAATTGGTTTGCTTTCATAACGTTGAAACAACGCGTTGATTTCAAGTTGATTTTCCGTTAGTTTTGAAAGAATGACGCGTCTGATGTTGGTTCAACGTTTATTCGATGAGCAAAATCAAAGTTGTTTCAATGTCATATTTCCACGTTGATTCAATGTCAGTTTGCTATCTGGGTATAATTTTTATATTACAATGATATCATATTTTGTGCAGAGAGCTTGATTTATAAATGAAAAAGCCTTACAACGTCAATGAGTAAACATTGAAATTCAATTAAAATTTACCGTCAACAGACGTTGAATGAACGTTTCTCACTGACACGCCAAATCCCGAACTCCCCACTGGTATTTACGACATTGTGGTGGCGTTCAAGTGCGTTCAACTCGTAATTATGATCTATACGAGATGACTTGAACGCAGCAATACTGTGTTTCAAACCGAGTAGCACGCACACAACAGGAGGGAGAGAACACCTTGCGCATGTGCAGTAAAAGTACAACCTGTGGGGAAAAAGGCGTTTTAAACCTCGTTTTGAGGCAAAGTCATCAAACTTTTTCAGCCATTTTTTAAAATTTATTATTATTATTACTGTTTCTCTACAAGCCGTTGTTATGTCCCGTTGACCAGTGAAAGTTCAGTTCTGAATCTCTGCCCATTCATTTAGATAGGAGCCTGGTCTTGTTAGTCCGAAATCGCTGCCCGGAGGAGTTGCCAAGATGGCGGCCGAGTGGCAGGACTTGCCTAATTAATGCTCACAAAGTAATTACTCAAATGAAGTGCCTACACTGAGAGTATGTGATTTAGGATGCAGAAAATGTCTTCAGAATTGAAAGAAACTTCTAGGCAGGAGTTTTGGAGCGGGTTGTAACGAAACTTCTGCTGTTAATGCCGCATAGTTATCTCTAGTCTTTTTCTTTTCCAGGTGTTTAACTTGCTTCCCATCATCAAGCATTTCCCAGGGCCACACCAGAAAATCTATCAGAACGGCGAAGACTTGAAGGCTTTCTTCAGGGAATCAGTCAAAGCGCACCGAGAAACTCTGGATCCAGACAGTCCTCGAGACTTCATTGATGCCTACCTGCTGGAGATTGAGAAAGTGAGATCATCACGACCAACCGTTTAATCCACTCTTTGATGATAGTTACTATTTTGCCAAGTAACATGTGATGTTCAGGGTATCAATATCGCGGGATCGCAGGTAAGAAAAAGTGACGATGCCATCTTTGCAGCAATAGGGGATTATCACCCTTCCGGGTTTCGTGGGCGGGATTTGTCAACTTTGCATGTCCACTTCCGACGCAGTTTAACAATGGCTGAGAAGAAGGCTATATATGTCACTGCTCTGTTACACTTTGTAAATCTAACCAACAACGCCAACCCTACGTAAGTTTTCATGGATTCCCGACTGAATTGAGTATAAGGAAGAACTGGATTAAAACTTTAAAATAAAACAAGGTAGCACGTGACGTTTGTTTGCAGCCGGCACTTTAGTGAATCAGACTAATTTACCAGGGATGCCGTATAAATAAACTTTGGTGAGAAGCGAGATCGGTGATTCAACGGAAGTGGCAGTGCACAAAGATCACTGAATCCGGAAGTCCCACGTATCAGCGTGATAATCCCCTATTGTGGGACGCCTCCTCGCCAATTTGTGATGTTCAGGGTATCAATACGAAGCCAGGCCACAGCAGGCAGTTGAACCTGTTACAAGTTTCTTTATTCTTTCTTCTCTCACACCTCGTGCTACTTTTCTTCTACCCTTTTTTCTACCCTCTTCTATCTCCTGTCTCGCTCTTAATACTTCCCCCTCTAGTGGTCTCAGTAAGTATTGCACTGAATAACAGGACACCACAAAACACAAGTTCTTTTGTTACGAACTACCCCTTAAATTTGAAGGTTCTTCAAGCCCCAATTCACCTTTGGCTAAGCCACGCCCTAGAATGTAGATTGACCAATCACAGCGCAGCCAAGAACGAGCTCCCACAGAGGTCGGACATTTTTTCACAGCGCTCCATTGACTTTCAATACAGGTGTCTCATATATTTGGTCTCGGCAGGCTATTACCGTCGTAGTTTTATACAAAATATGGTTAAACGTTGTGCCTCGGGCATTTGCAACACAGATACGCGTTTCCCAGAGAGGTTGGAGGGGGGTGTCCGTTTTTTCCCCTCCCAAAACCGAAGTCAAATCCTGACAAGTGTCGTCTTTGGAAACTGTATGGACGTCCTCAGTCAGATAAACCCCACAAAGATCAACAAGCACATCTTTTTCACTTCTAACCTTACTGTGAGTGTGAAGTTATACTAGTTAGACCGTTTTATAATGTTTTAGGTTATGATTTCGGTTCTCATACCGGTTGTTGACACGCTAGCAAACGCTGCTAATAAATATATACTTTATACTCGTGTAGTCCGTTTGCTTTGTAATAACCATTATAGAAGTGAATAGAGACCCACCCAGCTTGCATGTGTTGCTCCTTGATATTGTTAGTCCCAGCCTCCGTCTCGATTCGTAGGAAATGCGGTGGTTCATTTTTTGACTGTGACTTTTTTTTTTTTTTTGTCCGAACGCATATCGCAGCCCCTTTTGCCTACTTCTATCGGACACTTTATTTGCTGCTTTATAAAAGTTTGATAACATTTCAGCAGGAAGAGCTGTTACAGCATAAGCCATGCAGAGCGCAGATGAAGTTTGACGGATGTAGCAACAGTAACTAAGGGGGGCGGGGCTTAGCCAAAGGTGAATTCCATCTCTAACACTTATAGGAATTTTGTTCCAGGACCAACAATTTCCTAGACGGTGAAATCACTGTAGTCAAGCATAAACCAAAATGCTTTCTGTTTTCCTTGGAGCAGCAAAAGTCCAACGAGGACTCCACGTTTCATGAGGAGAACATGATTATGTCAATAGCTGATTTATTCCTGGCTGGAACCGACACCACAGCGACCACCATCAGATGGGGGATCATCTACTTGACACAAAACCCAGATGTACAAGGTACTTAGGATTTACATTGCATGTTAGAACCGATAAATGTAGATATTGCATGCTCTGTAATTCGCTTTGGATAGAAGGATTTGCCTAATAGATAAATGTAGATACAAAGGTGATATGTAAAGTGTTGGCATGCATTTTAATTCTGTCTTTTATCAAAGTCAATGGGCTCTATGCACGGCGTTATTTCCGGTGAAGCATTAGGGATGCTCGATAACTTCCGCCGATCATAGAGTCCAATGCAATACCGAGAATTTATATTGAATTTTATACTCCATGGTTATACTAATGAAACGTTAGTCACAAAAACAGATAAAACAGACACCCCTCGTTGTGTTTATGCTTCTTTTTAAAATTATATTAAATAAACATAACTATATATAAAATTACATCTAAACGTATGTACGTTTTCTTTCAAAGACGGGAGGACAGTAAATATTGAAGACTCTGCCATAATCCCGTTTTCTCCGGTTTTCCTCTGCTTTAATCTACACAACCGGAAATGGACGAGCATCCTTCCGTCAAATGCGGAACTTATGCGTGCATATAGCCCATTGCTTTGCTTAACCCATTTACTCCTAAAACGTCAGCTAAAAACGCCTATAAAAACCTATGTTGTTCTAGGATAAATGTCCTTATCTCCTGAGGGTTTTCTGAAAAAATACTACGAATTGTCAACGTCTACTAAAACCTTAATATCTAAGCCTCTGTAGCACTTAGAAACATGAAATAAAATACATTTTAAAGGTAAGAATCGCAGCTTTTATTTAAACACAATTCCTTGGAACTCACTTAACAAAACATTTTTCTAAAAATTCTCAAAAAATAAATTTAATAAAAAATATAAATCAATTACAGTGCCCTCCTCAATTATTGGCACCCCTGTTTAAGATGTGGTTGAGGACTTTCTCCCTTTTCTCCCTCCCCAAATTCTCCCTTTTTTTTAAACAACATAGAACCCAAGTGCAAAACAAGAGAAAAATCCAACCTTTTATTCAAGTACATTACTTTGGTGGTAAAAAAAATGTGAAATCCTGTGTCCCACAATTATTGGCACCCCTAACAATTCCGCTGAAAAATGTAATTGATTTTTAAAAATATATATATTTTCTGTAGTTGCTAATGTTGGTCAGGATATCTAGGAACTTTTAATTAGTAATTCATGACTTCCGATTTCCCTGGGGTATAAATATGACATGACACAGAGGCCTAATTCTCTTACCCATTTGTCAACATGTGCAAAGACAAGAGAACACACCATTCAAGTAAGGCAGATGTGTGATGACCTTTATAAGTCAGGCAATGGCTACAAGAAAATAGCCACTCACCTTATATTGCCCATATCTAAAGTTAGAGGAATCATTAAGAAGTTTAAAACAACAGGAACAGTGACAAACAAGGCTGAAAGAGGTCCCAAGTTTATCTTACCACAACGCACTGTGAGGAGGATGCTAAGAAAAGTAAAAAAAAAGTCCTAAGCTCACTGTCACAGAATTGCATCAAATAGTGGCATCTTGGGGTCACAAAATCTCCAAAACAACCATCAGACGCTCTCTACATGCCAACAAGATGTTTGGGAGGCATGCTAGGAAAAAGCCTTTTCTCACTAACACTGACAAACGTAAACGTCTGGAGTTTGCCAAGCGGCACTGGGACTTCATCTGGGATCGTGTGCTTTGGTCGGATGAGACTAAGATTGAGCTTTTTGGCAACAAACACTCTAAGTGGGTCTGGTGTAAAACAAAAGATGTGTATGCCGAAAAGTACCTCATGCCCACCGTGAAGTATGGTGGAGGATCTGTGATGCTGTGGGCCTGTTTCTCTTCCAAAGGCCCTGGGAACCTTGTTAGGGTGCATGGCATTATGAACGCTTTGAACTACCAGGACATTTTAAATAAAAACCTGATGGCCTCTGCCAGAAAGCTGAAGATGGGTCGTCATTGGGTCTTTCAGCAGGATAATGATCCAAAACGTGTGGCAAAATCTACACAAAAATGGTTCAGTCACAAACTCAAGGTCCTCCCATGGCCATCTCAGTCCCCAGACCTCAATCCAATCGAAAACCTGTGGGGTGAGCTAAAGAGGAGAGTGCACAAGAGAGGGCCCAGGATACTGGATGATCTAGAAAGATTTTGCAAAGAAGAATGGTCAAAGATCCCTCTCTCTGTGTTCTTCAATCTTGTGAAATGTTATAGGAGGAGATTAAGTGCTGTCTTGTTGGCAAAAGGGGGTTGTACAAAGTATTAACATCAGGGGTGCCAATAATTGTGGGACACATGATTTGAAGTTTTTATTTTTTTAAATTTTAAATTATTTTTTTTTACCACCAAAGTAATGTACTTAAATAAAAGGTTGGATTTTTCTCTTTTTTTGCATTTGGGTTCTATGTTGTTTAAAAAAAAGGGAGAATTTTTAAAAGTCCTCGACCACATCTTAAACAGGGGTGCCAATAATTGTGGAGGGCACTGTATATAAAATATCACAAATAATATTTTAAAACATGCCAACACTGAACAATTCATTTTATGAGAGACCAATCGACAAGACCCACCTCATGTGTATTTGAACCAATGACAGTGCGTTTTATGCTGCACATGTCATGAAAAGTTTGACGAATACAAAATGCTGCGTCACGCAGCAGCCGGCGGGAGTTTCAGAGTTGCGCAACGCAGTAACCGGCGGTAGATGTAATATTGCGTAATGCTGCGGTAGATGTAATGTTGCAGATGTAATGTTTCCGTCACAAATGGGTTAAGAAACAGACCAAATTTTTTGTCATTATTCACTGAAAATCCCCTTCTCCACAGCTCTCGAATCTCATTCAAAACATGACTTGGCATGTCACAATTGGTTTTGAGATGCACAAAAACCAGTGACACTTGGTCTTATTTCTGTCAATCTTGCAATGATGTGTCTTATGCACAAATGTGTATTTTACCAGTTGCCATGATTCCCCTGTTGGTTTTTTGTCTCAATGAAGAGTTCTGCACTGTAATATTGTCTTTTTACTTAGCTTCAAAGCTTTAGAGTCTTAAGGTAGCCAAATGGAAATGCTGAATTGGAAAAAATATTGCATTATATGTAAACACAACTAGGTTTAAACAGATTTTCATTGTAGTACACAGTTGGCCCCATCCCAAACACACCATTGCTTGAGTTAGAGTAAGGATTTAAAGCACCACAGTGTTTCATTGAGTCAACCTGAACATTAATGACGTTACAGAGCGATGTCATGAGGAGATCGTTCAGGCGTTGGGTTACGACCGCTTTCCCAGCATGGATGACCGTGACAAACTACCGTACACATACGCCACTGTTCATGAGTTTCAGCGCTTTGGCAACATTGTACCAACTAGCGTGATTCATGAAACAACCCAGCCCACAAAACTACGAGGATACGACCTTCCCAAGGTAATGAATGGAGCCTGGATGTGGTGTTTTCCTCGATTGAAATTGTTCCACTAACAAACATCATGTTTCTAGGGCACCGAGATACTGACCAACTTAACGGCAATTTTAACTGATAAGGAGCACTGGAAGTATCCAGACACTTTTAACCCAGAGAATTTCTTAGACGATAATGGAAAATTCTTCAAACCAGAGTCTTTCCTCCCTTTCTCATTGGGTGAGTCACCTGACTACGATAGCAGTAGATCAAGAGCAAAGCCAACTAGGTTAAAACCCATTGTGTTTTATCTCTATCTATCAGGTCCGAGGGTATGTCTCGGTGAGACTCTTGCTAAGATGGAGCTCTTCCTCTTCGTCACTTCTCTCTTGCAGCGGATTCGTTTCTCCTGGCCACTTGGTGAGCAGCAGCCAGACATGAATGGCATTGTTAGTGTGATCCGCTCTCCTCAGACATACAACATCATCTGCCACAGCAGAGGCTCCTAAGATTGACCATCAGGAACCTTTCCTGCATTCATGGAGTTTCCAAAGCTTCTGGAGCTGATTTAGACAGCTTTAAAACTTGATGTTAATGTTTTAGCTAAGGAATTATATTCTAGATTAATAGTTATGGGTGCTGTGAGTAACGCATTACAAAAGTAATACATTACAGTAACATATTACTTTTTGCTGTAACGCAGTAGTGTAAGGCATTACTAATCAATTTTCAGTAATATTTTACATGTTCAGTGAGGCTTGTATTACAGTTGTATTACAGTGTATTGTCTGCTTTTACTTCTTAAAGGCAACAGACTATGTGAAAGTTTTAAAGCAGTTTTTTAGTGCCAGTTCAAAGCGGTCGCGTCTGTAACATTGTTTTTTCCTCATAAATGCGAACACGAAAACTAAAATAAAATGAATATTTTAAGTTCTATGGAGACTGGAGAGCCAACCCTTCCTCATCCGATTTGCGCAGTGTAATTAACAGAATTACAAAAAATATATTTTACCTCCTATTTTTTTGTCACGCATGAATTGTGTGTCTTTTCCCTAATATTAAAAATAAAACAGACTGATATTTGTCTAATGTCTGGAGTCCTTTAAGGAAGTAGCCTATATACGTTTCAATACATGTATTTTCTGAGAATTTTTATTTCAAGTTTTGACTGCAAATGTCATGTCCATAATGCTGGACTTCCCCAATTTTAAATAATTTATCCTCAACTAGTTTTGTGGTGTAGGTCTACGTATTTTATAATGTTAACTTCAAATAATACTAATAGCCTAATTTAAAGATAAGGCAGCATTGGATCTGGACGGTAAGGAGAATAACGCTGGAGTTGGAAGAGGTGTGTCGCGATTCTGTAGGTTCGTGGATCTGAGTCGTGTGGCGAATCGCGATTTCGGTTTCATATACAGCCCAAAAGTTAAGTTCTACTTAGTTATTTTGGTGAAAGTAACTCAAAAGTAATACATGAATAATGTAAAGCATTACAATTCTGGGACAGTAATATTGTAAGGTAATAAATTACTTTTAAATAACAGTAACAAGTAATACCTAATGTATTACTGTTTGGAAGTAACTTGCACAACACTGTCACTATTACTACTAACGGTAAACCCTGAATTTCACAATAAATGACTGCAGTACTGTAATACCACTTCCTCTGATGTAATCTCTCACATGATAGCTTATATCACTACAGACAAGCCTGTACAGGTCTAAACTAGATGTATGGCTATTTACGTGGAGATGTAACACACCCTAGTGTGCATGTTTGAAATTGTTTGAGTTCATGCATCATAATGGTACAGTATCTATATGCCCCCAAAAATCAATTCATATGAGTGGAGTAAAACCACAAATGATTTAAATCAAAGTTTTAATTTAATGCAGATTTTTTGACAATATTTTGTCATTTTAGGAGAATACATGTATTGTATTATATGCAAATGTAGTATATTTAAAAATAAATCTTATTGAAAAATAAATTTTTGAACTTTTCTTCTAAAACATTTGTGGATTTCAAATGTATAAATATCACTATATAAAGTTATAATCAATCATATAAATCTCATACGCTAAGACTGAGGAAAACAACCCACGAGTTTAGCAGATATTTCCTGAGTTGTGTGTGACCACATTCAATAATTAAGTGCTTTTGTGTTCTTCAAAGATGTAAACAGCGATTTCTATTATATATTTTAGAGTACAATTCTTCATCTGGTCAAAAGTAAAAAAAGATTTTAAAAAAATCCAAGTATCCTTATTACTGCTATTGTCTGGTCATCCAGGCTAGACTGGAGAGGTCACAGTTTAGTGAATGAAAATGTTCCCATTAAGCGGCTGCTTTGGTCTTCTGGTCATCTTGTTTTTTGACGGCCGAGTAATGAGGGATAACTATCATAAACACTGGCTACCCCTCCAGAGTCTATTGACTTGTCATCCTGAGCTGTAGTTTATTGTCTGCGGGGAGAAGGAATGTTTGGACACCTAATCCCTGTAGTTTGACCACATCAGGCATAGATTTCAAGAGCTGGCGGACAGAAGCGTAGTCGTTCAGAACCTCTGAGTCCAGGAGGAGCGGGCAGGACCTGCGCGCTTTACTCAAAGTGATGCCTGAAGGATATTGGACCATCAGATCCCGAAGTGCTTTCTTCAGCTTCATCAGGTCAGTGCTTGGTTCTGATTGATGGGTGGATGGATAGGTCATAATATATAGAGAAAGAAATCTGGTTACTTGTCCCACAATAATTGTACAGTAGCCTACAACATGCACAACAACAGCATAATTGCAATTTTGTATTTAAAAGTTGTTGGTCTGGGATATTAAAGTAAAGATGGTTACCTTTTTGTAAGTGGATATTTCAATCTACATGTAGCCTAGATTGAATGTCCTCTTACAAAAAAGTAACCATGGAACTATTTTGATTCATAAACTACCCTCACAGACTTACTAAGTGTGTAAGTTAGCTAAACTGTCGAGTTAACTTCTCTTTGGAATAAAGTATCAGTAAATGAGCTGTCATTAACTCACTTGTATCGGATGATGGTGGTGCTCCTTTAGCGAGCACTGAACTGTACAGTGTCGTGTGACCCGAACCTCCGGTACCGTTCTGTGACATCTTTAACGACTGCGATGTGACCAATCTTCTTTTATGAAAGCGAAATTCCCTTCATATGAAGTAATAGACACTGACCCGTTTGGTGTCGCGTCTGCAGTGAATCAATCAGTAAAATAAAAACGAAATATATCAGCCTACTTTGAAGGAAGTTAAACACCACACCTGGCATTTAAACGTAGGCTATCGAAACTAACACATGACTCATTTGGATACGAATCATTTTACTGTACCGAAACGAAACTATAGTGAATCTGTTAAAATGATTCAGCGATTCTTTTGAAATATCCCAGCGATTTTCCACCATTTCATTGGTATAATTCTCGGTTTGTTGATATCACACAACAAAAAGCAAAGTGTGTGGCATGTTTATGGTAAATCCATGCTAGTCTATTTTTTGTTATCACACATTAATACTATTTACACTCTTTGAAGGCTATACCTGCATTTACGCTTCCGTGTGATTTGCGGTTTAATTGATTCACTACAAAGAACCTCTACTAAAAATGATTCGCGAACCAAACCCATACTTTCGTTTTCTACTTCGTTTCCCCAGAAAGAAGAGCACTAATATTACGGGCTTCCTCATTTTGCAGACAGACGCCGCCTTTTATCAACACGGAAACGAATGGCAAAAAAAAAATAATCTGAATTCGACGATGCGATGCTCTAGTGAGAAGCAACAACAGTTTTCATGATGATCAAAGCAAGCTCACTTCTCATTGACCTTTTTCCTCTACATATTTTAGATAGGCTTACTTTCACTTCTACCTCTGAGGTGAATTTAAATAAGTAAATATAAAAGCACACTTGCTGATTAATGCCTTTTATTTTGAGCAGTGACTACTTCCAAAGTGGTAGAAAAATAGCCCAATTCATGTTCTATAGACTATACTCGTTTATTGAACATCATGCTATGACTTATTGCATGAGGTTGCATCAGATGTTCGTTAAATGTAACTGAATGACTACTGCCACGGTATTGATTGGTGTTCAGGGGTATTTTAAAATACACACTATTTATTATAATTTGCAATACCAAGGTACCGTCAAATGTGTAAATGAGGACGAGGTATTGCTTAGTTGTGTTGTTCATTTAATCATTTTGACTGAACTTTGCTTCACCTTTGTTCAAGTTGTACTGTTTCTTTACGTCTTTTGCAGGCGCATGTCATTAATGAGGAACAATAATCTTTTGTGATTAGACATCATGGCAGGCCTAGTCAATCATTTACTGTAGGCTAGTCATCCAGTTAGTGTGGCAAACACTTGGAAACCACTGTGAACTTTAAAGTGTTTTCTCTGGGAATGAAGTGGAAACGGGAGTGTTTTCCTTCTCTCAGCTGTCTGCAAAGTCTAAACCTTCTGTTTGAATGTTCATAGAAACCCAATAATTGTTTCTTTCTAATTTTGGGAAACTGATTCCAAAAAGAGTGCCCGTTTCTCTAGCATGTCACTTTCTCACAACTTGATGCATTTCTTAGCATTCTTGCTTTTGACATCCTCCCATAAGGTGGAGACGTATTGTATTTTCCCTTAATCATCATGAATAACTACAAAAACATGATTCATCTCTTCCTCTGAGCCAGGTGAGAAACGGTCTGTTTCCAAATATTTTGGAATTTTGTTGGGCATATTCCTGTGACCCAATGGTTTGCATCTGGTTTTAGGTGCGACGCCAATGGTTATCTGAGATCTTGAAGAGACACCACCCATAACAGAACAGAATTCTCTTAAGTTTTGACATGATTTCTTCCATTGCTGTGGAATTTGACAATAAAATAAAAACTGTTTGATATTTATGAACTCGGCATAATCTAATTAGTTAATATTAGATCATTTTGCAAATTTGGCTACTTTTCAAGATGCAGCAGGGCTGTGTTATAGGCAAATCATTCCTGTTTGTTTTGTGTGATGCAGGTATCAGTAATACTAACAGCTGAAAGGGTTAACAGCTTGTTAAACTCTCTCACTGTCTCCACCCTCTTTGGCTCTGTTTATAAAGCCCACAGTCGTCCGCTGCTCTTGTGTTTGTCTTGAAAGCAATCATGTGGGCGACTCTCGTGAAGTTAGACCTGGCCTCTGTAGGCCTGGCTCTGTTTCTGGGCTTGATCTTTCTGGTTCTGTTCGAGACCGTCAGGATTAATTCCTACAGAGGTCGAACTCCTCCTGGTCCCAGACCTCTGCCGTTTGTGGGTACCTTACCATATTTTCTGAAGAATCCAATGAAGTACATAAGATCAGTGAGTCTTTGCTGTTTTCTTTCTATGGGCTTATCATTGACCTCTTACCTATTTTGAAATTAGATGTTTAATATACAAAACATATGTTCAGAAACATTTCTAAGTTTAAATGCATTTGTGAATGTTCTCTGAGTAGATGTCTCAGTATGGAGAAATGTCCACTGTGTATCTTGGGAGGACACCAATGATAATCCTCAACACAGTCCAGGTCACGAAGGAAGCCCTGGTTCAGGAAGCTTTTTCTGGAAGACCGGCTATGCCTCTTATAGAATGGT